ATTGGCTAGTATTTTGGTGAGAATATTTGCATCCATGTTCATCACGGATATTGGTCTGTAATTCTCCTTTTTGATGGGGTCTTTGGTTTTGGGATCAAGGTAATGGTGGCCTCATGAAACGAGTTTGGAAGTTTTCCTTCCATTTCTATTTTTTGGAACAGTTTCAGAAGAATAGGTATTAATTCTTCTTGAAATGTTTGGTAGAATTCTCCTGGGAAGCCATCTGGCTCTGGGCTCTTGTTTTTGGGAGATTTTTGATGACTGATTCAATTTCCTTAGTGATTATAGGTCTGTTCAGGTTTTCTATTTCTTCCTGGTTCAGTTTTGGTAGTTGATACATCTCTAGGAATGCATCCGTTTCTTCCAGGTTATCTAATTTGCTGGCATATAGTTGCTCAGAATATGCTCTTATAATTGTTTGTATTTCTTTGGTGTTGGTTGGGATCTGTCCTCCTTCATTCATGATTTTATTTATTTGGGTCATTTTTCTTTTTGATCAGTCTGGCCAGGGGTTTATCAATCTTGTTAATTCTTTTAAAGAACCAACTCCTAGTTTCGTTGATCTGTTCTACCATTCTTTTGGTTTCTATTTCATTGATTTCTGCTCTGATCTTTATTATTTCTGTTCTCCTGCTGGGCTTAGGATTTATTTGCTGTTCTTTCTCCAGCTCCTTTAGGTGTAGGGTTAGGTTGTGTATTAGAGAGACCTTTCCTGTTTTTTGAGAAAGCCTTATATTGCTATATACTTTCCTCTTAGGACTGCCTTCACTGCGTCCTAAAGATTTTGAACAGTTGTGTTTTCATTTTCATTGGTTTCCATGAATTTTTTTAATTCTTCTTAATTTCCTGGTTGATCCATTCATTCTTTAGTAGGATGCTCTTTAGCCTCCATCTATTTGACTTTCCTCTTGTGATTGAGGTCTAGTTTCACAGCATTGTGGTCCAAAAATACGCAGGGAATGATCTCAATCTTTTGGTACCGGTTGAGACCTGATTTGTGACCTAGGATGTGATCTATTCTGGAGAATGTTCCATGGGCACTAGAGAAGGATATGTATTCTGTTGCTTTGGGAGGGAATGTTCTGAATATGTCTGTGAAGTCCATTTGGTCCAGTGTGTCATTTAAAGTCTTTATTTCCTTGTTGATCTTTTGCTTAGATGATCTGTCCATTTCAGTGAGGGGGTGTTAATATGTCCTAATATTATTGTATTGTTGTGGATGTGTTTCTTTGCTTTTGTTATTATATAACAAAAAGCTTATGTAATTGGCTGCTCCTGTGTTAGGGGCATAGATATTTACAATTTTTCAATCTTCTTGTTGGATAGACCCTTTAAGTAGGATATAGTGTCCTTCCTCATCTCTTATCATAGTCTTTGGTTTAAAATCTAATTTGTCTGACATAAGGATTGCCACCCCAGCCTTCTTTTGGTGTCCATTAGCATGGTAAATGGTTTTCCACCCCCTCAATTTCAATCTGGGGGTGTCTTTGGGTCTAAAATGAGTCTCTTGCAGACAGCATATCGATGGGTCTTGTTTTTTTCTTTTTTTTTATCCAATCTGATAACCTGTGTCTTTTGATTGGGGCATTTAGCCCATTTACACTCCAGATAACTATTGAAAGATATGAATTCAGTGCCATTGTATTGCCGTAAGGTGACTGTTACCGTATATTGTCTGTGTTCCTTTCTGGTCTATCTTACTTTTAGGCTCTCTCTTTGCTTAGAGGACCCCTTTCAATATTTCTTGTAGGGCTGGTTTCGTGTTTGCAAATTCCTTTAGTTTTTATTTGTCCTGGAGGCTTTTTATTTTCAATGACAGCCTAGCTGGATATAGTATTCTTGGCTGCATATTTTTCTCATTTCTATTTTCAGTGACAGCCTAGCTGGATATAGTATTCTTGGCTGCATAGTTTTCTCATTTAGTGCTCTGAATATATCATGCCAGTCCTTTCTGGCCTGCCAGGTCTCTGTGGATAGGTCTGCTGCCAATCTAATGTTTCTACCCTTGTAGGTTACGGATCTCTTGTCCTGAGCTGCTTTCAGGATTTTCTTTTTGTCTCTGAGACTCATAAGTTTTAGTATTAGATGTTGAGGTGTTGACCTATTTTTATTGATTTTGAGGTGGGTTCTCTGTGCCTCCTGGATTTTGATGCGTGTTTCCTTCCCCAAATTAGGGAAGTTCTCTGCTATAATTTGCTCCAGTATACCTTCTGCCCCTGTCTCTCTTTCTTCTTCTTCTGGGGTCCCAATTATTCTGATATTGTTTTGTCTTATGGTATCACTTATCTCTCGAATTCTGCCCTGGTGATCCAGTAGTTATTTATCTCTGTCTCTCAGCTTCTTTATTTTCCATCATTTGGTCTTCTTTATTAGTAATTCTCTCTTCCGCCTCATTTATCCTAGCAGTTAGAGCCTCCAGTTTTGATTGTACCCAGGAGCAGTCTTTTAATTGGTTCCATAAAGAGATGATGGATTTTACTTACAACTTATTTACACCCCTAATACTAGCAACTAGACTTCTGTTAGGGACCTTTTAAAAATTTGTTTTACATAAAAATATTTTATATGATTTTTTAGGTGTTTGTGTGTATATGACCATGAGTAAAGCAAACCAGAATGTATGATGATAGAGGAATATAGCCATTGCTTAGCTCACTCAGTAGCCCAGTGAATTGATTTCCCAGCTTTACAGCATGTGCAATTAAAATTTGTGTCTAAGTAAAATCAGAATTTTCACATGTCACATGCATATGGGGTTAGTTCAGTTCACAAGAACTGAAGATGCAAATCTCAAATACACATATATCCAAAGCCTATTCAAGGATGACCTGCAAGTAGGTCTTGATGTGAAAAAATAATAGATGAGGCATATATACCAAAATGTTAACATTTGTCAAGTGTAGTGATGGGTATAAATGATCATTATACTATTCTCTGTACTTTCCTATATATTTAAAGCTTTTCATTATAAAAAGTAAACTTGTAAGAAAGATACAATGCTTTTTATTGTGATCAAGACCTCTAGATTTTTAGGTGTACTAATTTCAAGTTCTTTCTTCAAAAGGCTTGTTTAAATTTATATAATTTTCAAATATTTTAGTTCTGGTGTTCTTTTCATCCTGGTAATTTAAAAAAATTTATTCAATTGTTCTAGCATAGATATACCTTATTATTATTATTTTGTTGTTGTTATTAAACTTTTCACATTCTCTGATGCAGGAATATTTTGAACATTATCTTTGAAATTAAAGAAGTTCTAATAGTATTGTCATATAATTGCTTCCCCCTCATATACTCACTATTTTTGAGGTTTCAAAAATTCCATTTATCCTCATTTTCTTTTTCTCATTAAAAGCAAACAGTCCCTGCTGTTTAATTTGTAACTCACATTTGAACAGGAAAAGTGCAGAGGACTCATTCTTCCATTTTTTTGTGGATAAGTTTTATGAATTTTATGTTTAGTGTTTCATTTTATTATCTTGGTGTTGCAATTTCTGCTATTGGCATATCTATCATTATATGTTTTACATATAAAGTGTCTCAACACTGTGTATAGATAGGTAAGAACGGTGTGCTCAAGAATCTTCTATTATAAATGATGTTTAAAATTTAGATGAAGGGTGGGGCACCTGGTTGGTTCAATCGTTAAGTGTCTGTCTTTGGCTCAGGTCATGATCCCAGGGTCCTGGGATGGAGCCCTGCATCGGGCTCCCTGGTCAGCGGGAAGTCTGCTTCTCCCTCTCCCACTCCCCCTGCATGTGTTCCCTCTCTTGCTGTGTCTCTCTCTGTCAAATAAATAAGCAAAATCTTAAAAAAATTTAGATGAAGGGTATTTTCCTGATGGACCCATTTGATGCCATCTCTGAGCCTTCTTCATTGGAGTTATGGGTACTTTGTAGACTTGCCTTATTGAGATTGGAAGAGACCCCTCCTTGGCTTATTTTTATTAGACTCTTTTTGATATACAGATAACATATATAATATGAATTCTGACATCCCAGGTTACTTGCAAAGTAATGATATTAATTTCCATAAGCCACATATCATTGATTTAATTATATCATAGTTACACCTCATACCTAGGACATACAGTACACTAATCAATAGTTATTTCTGGGGCACCTGGGTGGCTCAGTCAGTTAAGTGTCTGTCTTTGGCTCAGGTCATGATACCGGGGTGCTGGGATCTTGCCCAGCACTGGGCTCCCTGCTTGGGAGAAAGCCTGCTTCTCCCTCTCCCTCTGCCTGCCATTCCCCCTGCTTGTACTCTCTCTCTCTCTCTCTCTGCGTCAAATAAATAAATCTTTAAAGAAATAGTTGTTATTTCTGGTTTTATTTATTTTATCGCCATTAAAACATCTCATATATTTTATATTGTCTTAGCAATTAAGAGGCAACCTCCTTGTAGGAATGCCATTGACCTTACCTGTTTTCCCATCCTGATTTGCGTCATAGTTAAAAGCAGGATCTCAAAATCTCAGGCACATAACTGTGGTTATGTAATACAGCTGTAGGAACTCGGACAAGGAGCTTAACTTCCCTACCTCTCTATTTTCCTTGCCTGCTTCTCCTTCTCCCTCTGCCCCTCCCCACTCGTGTTTTTTTCTCTCTCTCTCTTGCTCTCTCTATCTCAAATAAATAAATAAAATCTTTATAAAAAGATAATCTTGAACTATTAATCCTTAAAATCACTTTCACCTCTAAAATTGTATTTTTAAATAAACTTTTAAATTTAGATGTACAGAAAAGTTATACTACAGAATTCTCTTCACCCAGTTTCTCCTGTTAACATCTTCCATTACCTTGGTACATTTGTCAAAACTGATGTCCTTTTTCAGTTCCAAGAATCAGTCTGGGATGCTACGTTGCATTTAGTAAAATTTGACTTTAAGATAAAAATGTTACACTTTTATATGTGGTTAGAATTTTGAATATTATAGGATATTGGTTATTAAAACTATAAATATATGATGCAATTCACTTAATATATTTCAATTTTAGGTTTCCATGGCACATGGAATACAAAATTTGATTAATGCCATCAGAATGATTCACAGTGTGTCACGGTATTATAACACCTCAGAGAGAATGACTTCATTGTTCATCAAGGTAAGTTTCCAAGGGAAGAAATCATACATGTAACCCTGTGAAAAGTTAACAGTACTTTCCCTCTGGGCCAGGGAAGGGAAATGGGAAGTTTGGGTGCCTCTCAGAATTCTGGATTTGACAGAACAGTGGACAAGAAAAGAAAGGTGTTGACTGGTCAGTTCTACTTAATTGAAGGTGTACCTTCTTAGAGGTAAGCCCTCAGGCTTTTTGTTTAAATGTAGCTGGTGCTTTTCTTTCTTTCTTTCCTTCCTTCCTTCTTCGTTCCTTTGAGAGAAAGAAGTGGTGGGAAGGGGCAGAGGGAGAAGGAGAGAGAGAATCCTAAGCAGGCTCCACACTGAGCATGGAGCCCGACATGGAGCTCGATCTCACGACGTGGAGATCATGGCTGGTGCTTTTCTAATTTATTCATTCCATATAGTTTTGCTCAAGATCCAGGAATTGTGTACATGATTGACAACACTTCTTTAGCTACTTCCACCAGCACTGTTGTGACATATGGTTCATTACTTAAATAATTTGAAAAAACATCCAAGAGACACATAAATAAAATTTCTTTGTGATTCAAGCAGAACATAAATATATAAAGTAAAAGTCACATCTCAGCTCTCTTTTTAAAAAACTAATCAATAGATTTAATCATTATCCATCTCTTAAACAGGGGAAGAATGTTAGGATTTTTCCCCATCACTTGTCTCTTTCTTGCTATATATGTCCCACGCTGAGATTTCTTGTTCTATATTTTTGTTAATAATTTTAAACTATTTTGTCTAATAGTTTGTTAACATTATGAATCCCTATGTGTTCAGAATAAAATCTAAGCATTGCTGGTTTCTTTGATCACCTCTCTCTTGTGATTTCTACATCTTTCTCCATCTTGGATTCATTATTTCTTTGGCTGAAAAGTATTCTCAAGTGGTTCTTTCAGAGATGGTCTGTATGTGGTGAACCTCCTGAATTCCTGCATGTCTGAAAATAGTTTCGTTTTGTCCTGCTACTCAAATGTTAGTTTCAGCGGGATTCCAGGTTCAACATAATTTTCTCCCGGAAACTTGAAGTATTGTTGTTTCTTATCCAGTACTGTTGATGAGAAATTTATGTTAATATGATTCTTTTTCCTTAGGCAACCTGTCTTATTCTTTCGAGAAGCTTTTAGGATTTTTTTCTTTATCCTTAAACTCATAAAATTTCAAAGTGCTGTGGTCCTTTTTACATTTATGTTGTTCTAGACTTGTTGGATTGTTGCAGTCCAGAAACTTTTATCTCTATTCCTGGGAAATTTCCCTCTTTTGCCTTGGAGTATTCCTTACCTACCTGTTTAATTTATTCTGTCCCCTTGAATTTAACTTCCATTTCTCTTAATGTTTTATGTTTTGTTTTGTTTTGTCAGTTTCTGTCCTTTGACCTTTCGGCTCACTCTTTTGCTCTTTGTTTATGTCCCAGTTGTTGGTCAGTTCATCAATAGAATTTTTTTATTTTGATAATAAAAATTTTAATTTCCAAGTTCTCTAGTTTTTTTTTGTGATGCAAAATACTCTCATATCTTTCTCATGTAGTTAATAAAAGATATAATATTTTACTTTTTTTTTGTATTTCCTCTGTTGAGTTTAAAGCCTCTGTTACCATATTTCTTTTTATTTTTTAAAGATATATTTATTTATATTTAGAGAAAGAGAGAGTGTGCAAAAGTACGAGTGGGGGAAGGGGCAGAGGGAGAAGGAGAGAGAGAATCCTCAAGCTGACTCCCCACTGAGCACAGAGCCTGATGTGGGGCTCAGTCTCACAACTCTGAGATCATGACCTGACCTGAAATCAAGAGTCTGATGCTTAACCGACTGAGCCACCCAGGCACCCCCCATGTTTATTTTCTTTAGTTGTTTGGTGATTCTGGGTTGTCTGCCCATCTTTGTATTTAAGTCATAATTTGCCTGCTTGTTCTGTTTCTTTTGGTCTGTCTCTTGTGTGGGGGAGTCTGGGGGGTAGGGAATGTGAAGAGCTTTTTCTCTAACATGTCCTCCTGGGGTGCAATAGCTACCTGGGCGTAGTTCACACTCATGGCTCTGTCCTGTCAGCATATGCCATTGTTGCCCACTGTACAAGTTGCTCCAAATTCAGTGTGTGGGGTCACAACCAAGGGCCACCTCCCATTGTCTCTACCTCAAAGATTTCCATCTTCATGGTGAACTTCTCCAGAAGGGATTCTGGTTTTCTGTCATCTTTATTTTTATTTTTTTCCTCCTGTAGATTTGTTCCTGTGTGCTTTCTATATTAGGAATTCTCCAAAATTTCTGTGTGTCAGCCTGCCCTCTCAATCTAACCTCCTGAGTATTCCCCTCCACCTCGCTATTTTGGGGTATGTGTGAGGTGGTTAACTTTAAATTTAGTTTGCATGTTGAAGGATGATGAAGAATGACACTTGGATCCTAGTTAGAGGAAAAATAGACAAAAGGAAAATATAGTTGACTTTGGAGTTTATGGCCCCTGTGAGGTTGACTTAAATGCAGTAAAAAATTTGGGTTGTCTTGGTTTTGATGGAATGTGTATTTCTTTGTTTTTTATATTGTGATTCATTCCTCCCATAAGTTTACTGTTTATCATATTTTTATGCTTCTGGTTTAAAAATCTTAAATTTTGCGTGCCTGGGTGGCTCAGTCGTTAAGCGTCTGCCTTTGGTTCAGGTCATGATCCCAGGGTCCTGGGATCGAGTCCCATATCGGGCTCCCTGCTCGGCAGGAAGCCTGCCTCTCCCTCTTCCACACCCCCTGCTTGTGTTCCTGCTCTCATACTCTCCCTCTCTCTGTCAAATAAATAAATAAAATCTTAAATTTTATTTCTCTCTTCACATATACCTATTTTGGACTTGTATTTATTTTAGGTAACAAATCAAATGGTGACGGCATGTAAAGCGTGTATTACTGATGGAGGAACCGTCCACGTATGGGATCAGGAAACACCGCTCGTATTAAAGAAAATTCAGGTTTGTAGAAATATTCTTATTTTCATACAGTAAAGCTTTCACCATCTGGCCCCCCCCTTTTTTTTACTTTGTTCATTCACAAAACATGTTAAAAACATTGTAAAGAATAGCATGAGAATATAAATAGAACCTCATTAAAATTATTGGCTTCCCTTAATATTTAGTGCAGGATCCTTTAGTGTAAAATTTAGTTCTCATCTTCTCCATGGCTGCCTATAGTGGACACCTCTTGCTGTCCCGTATTCCCTGGTCCCCACCTTTCACTGCAGCCCCTGTTAATTTCATTTTCTTGACTTTTTGCATTGGCTAGGACTGACATGCATTCTTAAATAGTCAAGGTGATCGTTGGCATCTGGTTTTGATCTTTTGGAAGAGAATGCTTCTGACATTTCTAACATTTCCCCATTTTGTTTTTGTTTTTTTAAAGATTTTATTTATTTGAGAGAGAGAATGAGAGAGAGAGAGAGCATGAGAGGGGGGAGGGTCAGAGGGAGAAGCAGATTCCCTGCTGAGCAGGGAGCTCGATGCGGGACTCGATCCCGGGACTCTGGGATCATGACCTGAGCCGAGGGCAGTCGCTTAACCAACTGAGCCACCCAGGTGCCCTAACATTTCCCCATTTTGATGTATTCATAGGTTTTAAGTATATCTTTGATCAGATTAAGGAAGTTCTGCTCCTAGTCTTAGTACTAGGACATATTTTTTAAAGCTATGAATGGGCTTTAAAAAATGTTTTTCTGCACATATTTATTGAGATGCTTATTAGATTTTTCTCAGTCTGTTAGTGTAATAGATGACAGTTTTAGGTTTTCTAAAATGAAACTTTCCGGGTCATGGTGTAAATTTATTTTAAAGATTTTATTTATTTATTTGTTGGAGAGCACGCATGCACAAGCAGGGGGAGCAGCAGAGGCAGAGGGAGAAGCAGACTCCCCGCTGAGCAAGGAGCCCGATGTGGGACTCAATCCCAGGACCCTGGGATCAGGACCTGACCCAAAGGCAGATGTTTAACTAACTGACTGAGCCACCCAGCTGTTCCATGGTCTAATTTAAAAAAAAATTTTTTTTAAAACACTCTAAAATTTGGGTTGCTACAATTTTGTTTAGGAGTTTTTGCAACTATATTCATGAGAGATAGAGAGCCTGTAAATTTCTTTTGTCATACTGTCCTTGTCAGTGTTTTTGGCACTAAGGGCTCAGCCTCAGTGGAGGAGGAGGAGGGGAAGGTAGGGGGGAATATTCCCCCCCCTTCTATTCTCTGGAAAAGTTTGCAGAAAATTAAAAGGATCTGTTTTTTGAAAGTCTTCAGGAAATGACCACAGCAGGAAGGCTGCATCCGGAAGTGGTTATTGGCGGTCCTCATGTGCTGCTCCCTGGGCTTTAGGGAGCCAAGGCACCAGGCTGGAACTGGAAGGGAGAGCCAGAAAGGATGCTCAGTGCCCTCCAACTGGGATGTGAAGCACTGTATTTATGGGGCTTTACCATGCTCTGATCTCTGGAAACAGAGGATAAAAAAGAGTGGTGAGAGGGAACAGAAGATGAAGAATTACAGTTACTGAGATGAGGAAACCCAAGGGACCCCCATGAGAGAAAAAGCTGTTTTTCCCTTCCCTTTGCTTCTTTTCCGGCTTCTGTTCTTGCTAGGACCTGCACCCTCACCCACTTTACACATGCCTTGTAATGCAAATTGCTCATGTTCTCCTTGTAAGGGACAAAGAGATAATGATATCTTTGAAGTCTTCCAGCACAGTAGATGATATCTAAGGAATGACCTGGCAGAGCCATCGTGTGCCTATTCCAGGCCATTGGCCCTAGACATCTTAATGCCAAGACCCCTGGCTTCAGGGAATGAGGACTTATGAAGGACACCTGGACCCTGTCCTGTTCTGCCCAGTTCCTGTATGCCTAGGAGGACACATGCACCAGACCACGATTGCCAATAAAAACTCCAGACCCCAAGCAAAGATGGCTCATGCTCCTATCCTTTCTGAGTCTGTATCTGCTGTCTCTACATTGTCAATAAACTCTGCTTTCACCTTCTGCTGACTCACGTTTGATTTCCATCCTGGGTGAAGCCAAGGACCCTCTTGGCTGGTCCTGTGGGACCCCGTCTCTGGCCTCAGACCTGGCATGCCTGCATCATTAGGACAGTTTCTTAAGCTGAAAATACTTGATCCCAAAGACTGGAAGAACCAGGCTCATTATGGGGTTCTTGGACTTGGCTATGTAAGACATGGAGTTACAGAGACAGACCAAAACTGCTCATAAAGCAGTGGTGTTAAAACAGCCCTGAAAGAAGCTGGTGACCCAGTAAAAGAAGATCATGGCTACTTCATAACTACTGACGTAATGAAACCTTATGAAATATCTGATCCAGTGAAAATAAGAGAATCTAAGAGATGCAGCTTACTTTTCATAAGTCTGTTCCTTCTAAAAGTAAAGCAAAGGACAGTTTCTTCAGAGTGTTTTCCCTAGGGCTTGAAAGGAATTCTAGATCGTTAAATAATAAAAAGGCTCCTAAACTTGGTAATATGAAGTCACCGTTTGAAGATGTAGAGACATTTTATTCCTTCTGGTATATTTTTTACTCCTGGAGAGAATCTTCATATTTAAATGAAGAAGCAGGATGTCATGATGACAGGAGATGGATTGAAAAACAGGACAGAGCAACAGGGCACCAAGAAAAAAAGAATTGAGCTGAATGAGAATGTTAATTGATAATGCATGTAGTTGCGATGCAAGGATAAACGCATTCTAAAAAGAAAAAGTCAAGAAAGAAACAGAGAAGAAAGTGAGTGCAGAAGGAAAACAGAAGATGCCAGAAGCTAAAGAAAAATAAAGATTAGCTGAATCCGAAGCTGCTTGGGTTGCTAAGGAGAAGGGAGTGGAGGTCAGTCAATAGGCGTTATTGTCAAGGAAGGAAAAGATACCCAGAAAAAAAAAAGCCATTAGAAGGGAAAGGCAAAAACTTCAAAATTCATGGAGACCTGGAATTGCTTTTCTTTTTTCTTTTAAAAGATTTTACTTATTAATTTAAGACATAGAGATACAGAGAGAGAGAGATAGCATGAGCAGGGGGAGAGGCAGAGGGAGAGGGAGAAGCAGGCTCCCCACTGAGCCAGGAGCCCAATGCAGGGCTCAATCCCAGGACCTGGGATCATGACCTGAGCTGAAGGCAGATGCTTAACCATCTGAGCCACCCAGGCGCCCCTGGAATTGCTTATCTGAGAATGAGACAGGGCAGGTTGGAAGGAAGAAGTGGAAAAACTTTCAGATACGTTCCAACTAGCAAGCTTAGGTACTTACATGAAATGCATCAGCATCTACAAAAGAAGTAGGAATGCCTGCTCTGGTAAAACAGATAGAAGACACATATTGCATGGAGCACTGGGTGTTATACACAAACAGTGAATCATGGAACACTACATCAAAAACTAATGATGTAATATATGGTGACTAACATAATAAAATTAATAAAAAAAAAACAAATGAGTAACATAGAAAAGAGAGAGAAGCTGAGGCTTGTATGTGACAAGCATCTAAGAATGGAGAGACATCAACTGACAAAGGTGGAAATGGCAATAAAAACTGGTCAGAAGAGAATTGACCTGCAATTACTAATCAAAGCTGTGAATTTCCTTGCTGGAACAAATTCAAGATGGAAAGTAAGGGTTGTGGACCCAGTTCTAGTGTGTGTGTGTGGGGGGAGGGGGCGGTTCCCCACACCAACGAGTGATTATTGGACACTGAGTGTCCTATAGTTTAACTCAATTTTGACATATCTACCTGGAGATAGCATCACATCCCACAGGTTAAATCCCACAGTGGGGCTTCAGATGCCGGTAGTAAGTCCAGGTTGTCACACGTGCTTTTGACTGACTGCTGTAGATCAGAGGTTCCAACGACACCCCCAGACCTTGAGTTCCAGTAATTTGCTAGAGTGGTTCACAGAACTCAGAGAAGCATTTTATTCAATTACTAGATTACTGGTTTATTATACAAGAATATAACTCAGGAACAGACAGATGGAAGAGGTACCTATAGGGCAAGGCATGGGGAAAAGGCACAGAGCTTGCATGCCCTCTCAGAGTGCACCACTCTCCCCAGATCTCCTTGTGTTCACCAACCCGGAAGTTCTCCAGCCCCTGTCTTTCTGGGTTTTTTATGGAGGTTTCATTACATTTCATAGGCATGATTGATCAACTCCTTGGCCATTGCTGGTTGATTCAAACTTTAGGAGCCCCCTTCCCAGAATCAGGGGATAGGACATTCCTGGTTGGTTCCCCTGGCAACCAGCCCCCACCCTTAGGTGCTTCCAGAAGTCACCTCATAATGTAAACCCAGTTGTGGTAGAAAGGGGCTTGTTATGAATAACAAGACACCCATTTCACCTTTATGGCTCGAAAGCAATTTCAAGAACTGAAGACAAGAGACTGAATCTTGTAACAAAAGATACTCCCACTGTTCTTATAATTTGGGAAACTGCAAGGTTTTGGGGAGCTGTGAGCCAGGAACTATGGATAAAGACCAAATATATATGAGAAATGTATTTTGGCCATTGGAATGACCAAATATATATATTTCTGATAAATCACAGTATCACAGGAAGCTGTTGCCAACTACATGAACACATATTCTTCTTATGGAGTTGGCCTAAAAAGAGTCTCCAAAGTCATGACCTGCATCAGAAAAGATGGTGCACTACAAGGAGTCATACCTCAAGCTGACAGTATGACACCTTTTAGAAAGTCTGCACACATTTCACCTCTTGGACAACAGAGAAACAGAAGCTTTTGCAACAAGCTTTGAAAATCTATCCAATAAATGCACCTGAAAAATGGGGGAAAAATAGCAGAAGCAGTGCCCCGTAAGATGGAAAAAGAGTACCTGAAATAATATAAGGAACTTGTTGAAACCGTAAAAGCAAAGAAAGATGCTCAAGAACAAGTGCTGAGTGCAAGTAGAGTCATGACATGACTTAGTAATATTCTTTGTCATGTGTGCCTTTTAAAAATAAAACTGGAAATATTATATAAAAAAGGTCTGATAGAACTCCTCTATTAAGTCAGCTAGGCTTGACATTTTCTTTGTGGGAAGATTTTAAAATTGTTTTTGTTTTTTACAATTGAAGTTTTAAAATTGTGACAAAATATACATAACATAAAATTTACCATTTTAACCATTTCCAAGCCTATGGTTCAGTGGCATTGAGTACATCCCCAATATTGTGTATCCATCATGACTTTCCATTTCCAGAACTTTTGCATCATCCCAAACTGAAACTCTGTGCCCACTAAATAATAACTCCCCAAACTCTCCTCCCCACAGCCCCTGGGAACCTGTGTTCTATTTTCTGTCTTTATAAATTTGCCTATTCTAGGTACCTCCTTTAAGTGGAATCTTACAGTATTGTCCTTTTGTGTCTGGCTTCTTTCACTTAGCAAGTTCAGTCATGTAGGTAGCATGTGTCAGAATTTCATTCCTTTTTATGGCTAAGTAATGTTCCATTGTATGGATATACCACATTTTTTAAATCCATTCATCTGTGGATAGACATCTGGATTATTACCGCCATTTATCTATTGTGAATAATTCTGCTGTGAACATTGGTGTGCAATTATCTGTTTGAGTCTTTGCTTCCAATTCTTTTGGGTATATACCTAGAACTAGAAGTGTGAGGCAATATGGTAATTTTATGTTTAATTTTTTGAGGAATCACCAAACTATTTTCCTCAGTGGCTGTATCATTTCACATTGCCATTAGGAATGCAGGAGGGTTCCAGTTTCTCCACATCCTTGCAAGTGCTTGTTATTTTCCATTTTGTTGATAATAGCCATCCTGATTGGGTGTGAAGTGGTATCTCACTGTGGTTTTGCTTTGCATTTCCCTAATGGCTAGTTATGATTGAGCATCTTTTCATGTGCTTATTGGCCATTTGTATATCTTCTTTTTTTATATATTTTTTATTATGTTATGTTAGTCACCATACAGTACATCATTAGTTTTTGATATAGTGTTCCATGATTCATTGTTTGCGTATAACGCCAAGTGCTCCATGAAATACCTGCCCTCCTTAATACCCATCACCAGGCTAACCCATTCCCCCACCCCCCTCCCCTCTAAAACCCTCAGTTTGATATCTTCTTTGGAGAAATGTCTATTCAAGTCCTTTACCTTATTTGTCCAACATGAAGAGATTGAGTGGTGAAGAGGAAGTAATGTAAAGTAATTGCTATTAGATGTTATATTCCATGAGGGTTAGGGGTCTTATCTGTATTCCTAGCATCTCAAGGAGTTCCTAACACTTGGGTACTGATAAACTATTGTTAGATGAGTGAAAAATAATCAGTGACCTTGAATGGAGCAATTTTGTTGTTTTGGAGATTGAGATAGAAGAGGGAAGATGTATGAGACCATTTATTCACAGATCTGAATGTTTATAGGAATCACCCGGGAACTTGTTAAAAATATAGATTCCTGAGTCTCACTCACAGAAATTCTGATTTTGTGACTGTGGTAGGCAGAAAATAGCTCCCCAAAGATGTCCATGTCCTAATCCCCAGAACAGGTGAATATATTACGTTATATGGCAAGATGGGGGGGAATAAGATTGTACATAGAATTAGGATTGCCCATCAGCTGACTTTGGGACGGGGAGATTATCCTGGATTATCCAAGTGGGCCCAATGTAATTGCAAGAGTCCTTATTTTCAAGGAGGGAGATGGAAGAGTGAGAACCAGAGAGATGGGCCTGTGATAAAGATTTGACTGGCCATTGGTGGCTTTGGAAAATAACATTATTTTTTTTAATGGTTTGTTGGAAATGTTAACTCAAAATGACAGAGAATTCCTACTGGGCCTTAGGGACCGTGTCCTCTTTTATATTTCTAACAGGCTCACCAGCCTGGCCAGTGGGACAACCGTAATCAAATACTAGGGTTTCAGCAATGTACTCACAAAGACTCTAGGATTTCCTTGTGGAGAAACGGTGGTTGGACAATAAATTAGTATCGCAGAGTCTTAATGTTTTACATACCTGTATGTAAAGAATGCTAAAGAGAAGGCAGATACTAAGTGATAGATGAGTGATAGTAAATAGAATTGAGAGATAATTTCTGACCTCCCAGGAGTTCTAATTAGCCATGAAAATGTACAAACAATGTATGGCATACTCTGGTGAGGACAGGATAGAAGGGAAATAGTGAGAATGAAGAAGATGATAATATGATGTAAATTAAGAGAAACTACATTCACATTCCCAGACTTTTCAATATATAGGTGGAGAACTTGAGTTTTAATGTCAACAGCAACAGCTCCTGTTGGGCTGGTGTGATCAGTCCTGCGTGAAGACAGATTCTTGAATGATTGACTCCTGAACAAACACTCATCACCCGTTCTCTCCTTCTTTTAATTTTCTTATAGGATTGCATTTTTCTATTCAAGGAGTATCAGACATCTTTTCATAAAACAAGGAAACAGATTTTAGAATCCTCAGGTGAAAAATCTTTTGAGGTTTCAGAAATGTATATATTTGGAAAATTTGAAGCTTTCTGCAAAAGATTGGAGAAGGTAACCAATATTCAGTCACTGTATCCACACCCCCCCCCCCCCCTTTCTGGTTATTTCATACTTTATGTGGCACAGTTGAGAATTACTGACCTGGATCTCTTGTCTCACTGTTGGTATGAATCAGCTCCTATTACTTACAGATCACTACATTTTGGTCTAACTTATTTTTCAGTTCTGATGACTACAAAGCTATTGCAGACTTTCCCCTCTCTCAAGACCTCAATTCTATCTCTACCTATGGAGCCTGACCTTAGAAGCTTCTGTGTCTAATGATTGTATTAGGCTGAGAAAAAGTGTATGGTGAAATGCCCACAATACCTGGTGGAACCCAGTAGTAGTGCAATATCTGGATGTATAGACAACTTCTCTTTCTAGGCCAGTAAAAATGGTGTATACCTAAACATTGTGTGAGGGAGCCTTTGCTGGGCAGGCGCAGGTCAGACACTTCACCTTTGATTCATGTATTAGCTCTAGCTGAGGGGGTGATATTTTTTCAGGGGGTATCGGGAAGCCCATACCAGAGGCTTCTTGGAGTCAGCTTTTGAAAAGTGTATAAAGATATCATGTAGGTACCACCCCTTCTTCTCTCCCAGGAGTTGGCCCACTCCCTAGGTCCTAGTAATATTTAGGATTCCGTTCATCATTTGTTGGAAATTAGTGAGGGCATCACACAGGTTGAAGGGCATCTCCTAGACATGTCTGGAAGCCTGGTTTTTATTTGTACTCTCCTGATCTGTCCAGGATAGGAAAGTGTGGGTGATGAAGAGAACCAAGTTATCGAGTGGGGTCCTTCATACATGCTTGTGTGGAGCTGTTTTTTTTGTTTGTTTCTTTGGCAGCTTTATTGAGATATAATTCACATACTATACAATTCACCCATTTAAATTGTACAAGTCTGTATTTTCTAATATATTCAAAGCATTGTGTAACCATTACCATAGTCTAATTTTAGCACATTTTTGTTCCCACTAAAAAAACCCCATCCACCTGTCACACTCTATTCTCCCCTCTACTCACCCCTAAGCAGCCACTAATCTACTTTCTGTTTCTATAGATCTGCCTGTTCAGAACATTTTATATAAATGAAATCATATAATATGTGGTCTTTTGTGAGTAACTTCTTTCACTTAGCATCATGTTTTTAAGGTTTGTCCATGTTGTAGCATTACTTTTTATTGCTGAATCATATGACATTGTATGGATGCCACATTTTATTTATCCACTCATTAGTTGATGGGCACTTTGGTTGTTTCTACTTCTTGGCTAGTCTTAATAATGCTGCTGTGAACATGTTTGTACATGTTCTTGTGTGGACACATGTTGTTGTTTCTCTTGAGTATATACATAGGATTGGAATGTCTGGGCCATATGGTAACTTAAAAAAATTTTTTTTTAAAATTTTTAAAGATTTTTACTATTTATTGAGAGAGAGAGAAAATGATAGAGAGAGAGCATGAGAAGGAGGAGGGTCAGAGGGAGAAGCAGACTCCCTGCTGAGCAGGGAGCCCAATGCGGGACTCGATCCCGGGACTCCAGGATCATGACCTGAGGTGAAGGCAGTCGCTTAACCAGCTGAGCCACCCAGGCGCCCCTCTGGGCCATATGGTAACTTTTTGAGGAACTGCCAAACCATTTTTCAAAACAGCTGTGTCATTTTACATTTTCACCAGCAATATATGAGGGTTTTGATTTCTCCACATCCTTGTCAATACTTATTATTGTCTACCTTTTTGAATTTAGACAAACTAGAGGGTGTGAAGTAACATCTATCTCACTGTGGTTTTAATTTGCATTTTGCTGATGACTAATGATGTTGAACATCTTTTAATTTGCTTATAGTCCATTCATAATTCTTCTTTGGAGAAATTATAATCACATCCTTTGCACATTTTTAATTTGTTATTTGTATTTTTATTGCTGAGTTGTAAGAGTTCTTTATATATTCTGGGTATGAGTCCCTTATCAGATATATTTTCATCCATTCTGTGAGTTATCTTTTCACTTTCTGGATGGTGTCCTTTGAAGCACAATAGTTTTTAATTTTGATAAAGTCCAACTTATGATTTTTTTCTCTTGCTTGTGCTTTTGTACTCTATGTAGGAAACTGTTGTATGGAATTGTTTTGTGAACAATAGAGATTTCTTGGGGACAAATGTCCAATTAGAAGGTTATTGGCATGGAGGCACCATTGGTCGGACCTTGTTCCATAAAGATGCTTAATGTTTCTGAATGCACTGTAGTGTAAAGCTTGGGGTAGGTCCTGGTTATTCTAAATTTTTCCAGGGGCTAGTCCCCTTGACAGTTTGGGTATAGTTTTACGCTTGGTAGAGTTTCAGGGTTGGTCTTTAATAGTTAGCCCATTAGCAGTAAAGATTTTGGTGGCAGGTCTAATGCTGGGCATAATGGGCATCTATCCATGAAGTAGCAGCCTGAATATTCCTGATTCTAGAGGAAGGGGGTGGTAATGGCCAGCTATACTAACCACTTACCTGACTCTACCTCTGGAGAGGTCTTGCCTCTAATCTTAAGGACACAACTTCGTGCCACAAGGGCTCAGCAACCAGAGCTAATGCAGCACCCCCCCTGGAGACTTCACCTAAAGTGCATTCTGATTGCTAGGTTATCCCAATTCCCTTGTACTAAGAATCCCTTAGTTGATAGGCATCACTCCCATGTGTAACTGGTGGGTATTGGTATCCAGATTTGCAAAGATGGGGCTACGAAATGTACCCTGAAATGTGGCCAGGGTTTTCCATAATCTCCCAGAGGTGGTTACTGAGCTACCTGGATGGGCTTCTCCTGATTAGTGGGCCACAGTAGGGACCACTGTTGGGCTACCTCTGTAAACTTGGATATAGTAGAAGAGAAGAGTCAGAAGGGCAAGCTAAGTCAAAGCCTATTAGGGAAAGCAGAGATTAAGATGTCAGGATAAACACATGGCAAAGTCATAGGGCAGACAGCACTGAGGTTGGGGTTGGAGAGCCGAGACCTCAAGAGTTAGGCAGAAATGTTTAAGAACAAGTGAGGAAGGTTCTTGTATGTCACTAGGTTGCCTGAAGTGCACCTTCTGTTGGTAGGTGGAGACTTGATGGTGCATCAAGGGTTAGTCTGTCCTAAAGAGCCAGAATTAAGGATGTACTTTGCTCCTTTTTCCTCTTCCTGCCATATAAATTTTGGCGAATATTGGTGTTTCCCAGAGCCCTGTCTTTAGTTTTATTTTCTTCTTACCCAAATGTTTATGAGAGAGAAGGGATGGGAAGCTGGTATTGCTGGGGGGAGATTTAAGGGACGGGAGCCTTGTAGGTGGGGTAGGGTGACGCTGAGATGAGACAAACATAGCAAGTTGAGAACTGGAAAGGGTGCCAAGGCTGGTGAGCAGAGAAGGGATTACAGGTTGGTTGTCAACCGGGGGGTCAAAGTGGATAAAGAGAGAACTGACGAAAAAGCCAAGATGAGAACAAACAAGCAGGAGTGTGGTCGAGGTTGATCACTGTGACTGGCTTTCACGTTGTTGCTATGTGGTGTTGGGAGTGGAAGACACACTGGCTGAGTTCGAAAGGCCAAGCATGGGACAGACTGCTGTCTCTGCCTCTTGATGACTCCTCAGCCACCCATGGACAAAATGGACGTTGTGTTAGTGACAGGAATTACATCCCAGCATCTGGCTGTTGGGGCCAGGTGGCAGGGTAAGGGATAATGGGCAGAGTCTTGGCAGGTTAGGAAAGCAGAGCATGTGGGTAGTTTGAGTTCTGCAGTTTGTTTTTGTTTTTTAAGGTGAGTGGACTGTATGTGTTGGTAGGAGACCCAAGTATTTTGCATCCTTACATACAGTATATACAGCGTGCTGCAAATTGCAGGCAGTTCGTATTTCTTCCAGGCTTGGGCTGGCTTTTTGGATGACCGTGGTGTTTGGAAGTGTACAGAAATAGTGGTGTAAGAGTGAAAGTTGCTCTGAAAATGGTCGTCTGGGTTGATGTGCACAGGGAGCTTATGTGAATTCTGCGGGCTTCTTAGGAGGACCAGTAGTGTTGTCTTCATGGTGTGTAATATTTGGAGGAATCCCCTGAAAACAGGTTTATTTTCTGTTTGGCCATTGGACCCATGGGCCCATCCTGGAGAGCTTTGAGCACTGTTCTCCAAAGCAGGAATCAAAGAGGGGAATCACTGATGAAGATTCAGGAACGGAGTAGCCTGTAGACATGAAGGACTTTTGTTTTTGGTGTGTGAAGTAGGTGGTGGTGGTATATTGAGTGAGAGGCAGCCATTTGTGTAGTTAAGTTCATTTTGAGGGTTTCCCAAGTCTCTTGGGGGTCAGAAGGGACTGCAGTTGTCTTCAGGCTTCTTAGGCCTTTGGTTGCCTGAATGCAGGTGAAAGGGAAAACACAGGTGGATTTATGCAGACTTACATATCAGAACTGTGGTGAGGGCCAAGAAGAATGCTAAAGCTTTTGAAAATGATTTTCAGAAAATTCTCCAGAGCAAAAGGATGAAGCTATTCAGACATCTGTAAGAGTTTTGCTCAAATTCTTTCCTTTCCCCTCTTGAGAGACAAAGTGATCAAGATCTGAGAAATATAGCAAGCCCTCTCTGGATATGATAGGAATAGTCTGAGAATAGTAATGATTGGTGACAGGGATTTGTCTTCTATTTTATCTTCTCTGGCTGGTTTTAGCTAAATGATCTTAGGGGCTGTTTATTGGTTTGTTTTTTATTTTTTCTTTTATTTACTTATTTATTTTAAAGATTTTTTAAAAGATTTATTATTTTGAGAGAGAGAGAGAGAGAGAGAGAGAGAGAGAGAGAGCACAGTGGGGAGTGGCAGAGGGAGAGGGAGAGAAAAACCCAAGTAGACTCCACGCTGTGTGCAGAGCCGTGTGTGGGGCTCCATCTCACCACCCTGAGATCACAACTGAGCTGAAACCAAGAGTCAGATGCTCAACTGACTGCGGCACCCAGGTGCCCCTAAAGAATTTGTTTTAAAGTAATCTCCACACCCAGCATGGGGCTCGAACTCACAACCCCAAGGTCAAGAGTCACATGCTGTGCTAACTGAACCAGCCAAGTGCCCCTTGGTTTGTTCTTTTAAATCAATGATTCATTAAGAGTTTATTCTAGGGAAGGGTCCTAATATCCCATTTCTAAAATAACACTTCTCTTTTTAAGATTACAGAAATGATAACTATTGTGCAAACATATTCAGCCTTGAGTAATTCCACCATAGAGGGAATAGATATTATGTCAATAAAATTCAAAAACATATATCAAGGGGTTAAGAAAAAACAATATGACATTCTGGATCCAAGAAGGACAGAATTTGATACAGATTTCTCAGAGTTCATGACAAAAATCAATGGTTTAGAGGTAAGTAATTATACATACTTTTACTTTAGTAAAGCTGAAATGTAACCAATAGTATTGGAATTCACATATTTACTATTTATTAGAAGTTACTCTTGTGTAGTTGATCAAAACTATTTGCCAGTGTGAAAAATGTTTTAACTAGTCCACAAAATATTTTCCATCTTTTTTTAATGAAAAATGAGCATATTCAGTAAAAGATATCAATGAATACCCAGAAGGCCACAGGGTTATTATAGCTGGGGTTCATTTTTAGTTTGCATTGGAATTTGTATTTGTTTTTTGTTGTGCTGAGAAGCCAAGGTCATTTTTCCAGGCTAAGAGAAAGTGTGTAATCCTTATTCTTTGTTTTAAGTGTGAAAAGATTTGAGGACAGATTAGGAAGATGGCTCGCTCTCCCCTTGGCCTTGTACTTTATGGCCACATTCTCTCTACAGCTTAGAGGACAGCTCTAAAGAGGACCTCATCCTGTTTGTCTTAGCTTAAGGGATACCAGAAGGATGAAAGTTACTTAAAAAGAGTATGTCTGGTGACACTGCAACATATTTCTCTCCCACATTTTGGGCTTACATGACCTCAGTTACTATCTTACTGTAGTAACCCCAGGCTTAGCCCCAGGGAATGGTCTCCTTTTGCTGCAGAATGTCCTGGAGATACAGAGAGGGACAGGAATATACTCTATCCACTTCCTGAATCTGAAACTCTTGCCATCAAGGTGAGGAAAGCTATATATATTTTTTTTTCATTTATTTTTTAAAGATTCTTTAAAAATTATATTAAGGTAATCTAGGCAATATAAATAAGAATGATACTAAAATTCTAACAGTGGCTTTTCTTTTTGGCATAGATTTCCTTTCAGTTTTTGAAATTAAGTTTTGAAATATCAATTTGTTTGATATTAAGATATATTTTAGTTATTACTTACAGTGTTTGGCTAGTTGGGCAGAGTGGAGTTTGCTTCCAAAATGCTTTAGGCGTTATAGTTTATGGCAATGGGAATTTGTGGGTTTAAAAAAAAAACATTGCTTATTTTTTTAAAGATTTTATTTATTTGAGAGACAGAGAGAGCACAAGCAGGGGGAGGAGCAGAGGGAGAGAGACAAGCAGACTCCTCGCTGAGCGGGGAGCCCAGTGCAGGACTCAATCCCAGGACCCTGAGATCATGACCTGAGCCAAAGTCAGAAGTTTAACGGACTGAGCCACCCAGACGCCCCTGCTTAAATTTTTATAATTTATTTTTTATCATTTAATTTTTTTCGTCATGATAAGTGTATTCTTTAATTCCCATCCCCTATTTCTCCCATCCCCCACCCCCTCCCCTTGTGTAACCATCAGTTTGTTCTCTATAGTTAAGAGTTTGTTTCTTGGTTTGTCTCTCTCTCTCTCTTTTTTCCTTTGCTCATTTGTTTTGTTTCTTAATTTCCACATATGAGTGAAATCCTATGATATTTGTCTTTCTCTGACTGACTTGTTTCACTCAGGATTATACTCTAGCTCTAACCATGTTGCAAATGGCAAGATTTCATTATTTTTTATAGCTGAATAATATTCCGTTGTATATATACCACATCTTCTTCATCCATTCATCTATCAATGGACACTTGGTCTGCTTCCATAGTTTGGATATTGTAAATAATGTTCCAGTAAACATAGAGGTGTATGTAGATTTTTGAATTAGTGTTTTGTAAATTTTGTGTGATCCACACTATCCAGTAGTGTGATTACTGGATCAGAGGGTCGTTCTATTTTTAATTTTTTAAGGAACCTCCATACAGTTTTCTACAATGGCTGCACCAATTTGCATTCCTACTAACAGTGCAAGAGGGTTTCTTTTTCTCCACATCCTCGCCAACACCTGTTGTCTCTTGTGTTGTTGATTTTAGTCATTCTGACAGGTGTGAGATGATATCTCATGGTTGTTTTCATTTGCAATTCCCTGATGATGAGTGACATTGAGCATCTTTTCATGTATCTGTTGGCCATCTGTATGTCTTCTTTGAAGAAATGTCTGTTCATGTCTTCTGCCTATTTAAACAATTTTTTTATTATTTTATTTTATTTTATTTGAGCGAGAGAGAGCAGGGGGAGGGGCAGAAGGAGAGGGAGAGTGAAAACCCTAAGGATGGAGCCGGAGGCATGTCTTGATCCCCTGACCTTGAGATCATGACTTGAGCTGAAATCAAGAGTCAGACACTTAACTACTGGAGCCACCCAGGTGCCCCCTGCCCATTTTTAAACTGGATTATTTATTTTGGGGTATTGAGTTGTATCAGTTCTTCATATATTTTGGATACTAATCCTTTATTGGATATATCATTTACGAATATCTTCTCCCATTCAGTAGGTTGCCTTTTAGTTTTGTTGATTGTTTCCTTTGCTGTGCAGAAGCTTTTTATTTTGATGTAGACCTAATAGTTTGTTTTTTTTGCTTTTGTTTCCCTTGCCTCAGGGGACATATCTAGAAAAATATTTACTAGGGCCAATGTCAGAGAGATTACTGCTTGTGCTCTCTTCAAGGACTTTTATGGGTTCAGGTCTCACATTTAGGTCTTTAATCTATTTTGAGTTTATTTTTGTGTGTGGTGAAAGAAAGTGGCTCAGTTTAATCCTTTTGCATGTGGCTGTCCAGTTTTCCCAACACCATTTGTTGAAGAGACTGTCATTTTCCCATTGTATGTTCATTCCTCCCTTGTTGAAGATTAATTGACCATATCATCGTGGGTCCATTTCTGGGTTTTCTGTTCTATTCCATTGATCTATGTGTCTATTTTTATGCCAGTATTATACCATTTTAACTACTACTGCTTTGTAATATAACTTGAAATCTGGAATTGTGATACCTCCAGTTTTTTCTTTTTCAAGATTGCTTTGCCTATTCAGGGTTTTTTTGTGGTTCCATACAAACTTTAAGGTTGTTTGTTCTAGCTCTGTGAAAAATGCTGTGGGTCTTTTGATAGGGATTACATTAAATCTGAAGACTACTTTGGGTAGTATAGACATTTTAACAATATTTCTTCTGCTAACTCATGAACATGGAGTGTCTTTCCATTTCTTTATGTTGTCTTGAATTTCTTTCATCAGTGTTTTATAGGTTTCAGAGTACAGGTCTTTCACTTTGGTTAAGTTTATTCCTAGATATTTTATTGGTTTTGGATAATTATAAATGGGATTGTTTTCTTCATTTCACTGTCTGCTGCTTCATTATTGGTGTATAGGAATGCAAGAGATTTCTGTACATTGACTTTGTATTCTGTGACTTTACTGAATTGATCAGTTCTAGTAGTTTTTTGGTGGAGTCTTTAGGATTTTCTATATATAGTGTCATGATATCTACAAATAGTGAGAGTTTTACTTCTTCCTTGCCAATTTGAATGCCTTTTATTTCTTTATGTTGTCTTTATGTTGATTGCTGTGGCTAGGTCTTCCATACTATGCTGAATAAAAGTGGTGAGAGTGGACTTTTTCCTGTGCTTGGGGGAGAAGCTCTCAGTTTTTCACCATTGAGTATGATTTTGGCTGTGGATTTTCATATAAGGCCTTTATTAAGTTGAGATATGTTCCCTCTAGGCCTACTTTACAGAGGGTTTTTTATCATGAATGGATGTTGTAATTTGTCAAATGCTTTTCTGCATCTATTGAATTGTCATATGGTTTTTATCCTTTTCTCTTGCTGATGTGATGTATCCCATCAGTTGTTTTATGAATATTAAACCACCGCTGCATCCATGAAATAAATCCTTCTTGATCATGGTATGTGATTTTTTTAAATATATTGTTGGATTTGGTTTGCTAATATTTTGTTGGGGATTTTTGCATCTATATTCATGAGAGATAATGGCCTGTAGTTCTCTTTTTTTATGATGTCTTTATCTGGTTTTGGTATCAGGGTGATACTGGCCTCATGAAATGAATTTGGAAGTTTTCCTTCCTCTTGTATTTTTTGGAATAGTTTGAGAAGAATGGGTATTAACTCTTCATTAAATGTTTGGTAGAATTTGCCTGTGACACAGTCTGATCCTGGGCTTTTGTATTGCAAGTCTTTTGATTACTGATTCAATTTCATTTCTGGTAATTGGTCTGTTCAAATTTTCTATTTCTTCCTACTTTAGTTTTGGGAAGTTAAATGTTTCTAGGAATTTATCCATTTCTTCTAAGTTGTGCAATTTTTTGGTATATAGGTTTTCATAATATGCTGTTACAATTGTCTTCTTTAGGGTTGGGTGTTATTTCTCCTCTTTCATTAGTGATTTTGTTTGAGTCCTCTTTTTCTCTCTCTTTCTTTTTCTTTTATGACTCTGGCTAGAGGTTTATCAATTTTGTTGATCTCAAAGAATGAGCTGCTGGCTTCATCGATCTGTTGTTTTCTGTTTTGTTTTTCAGTTTTTATGTCATTTATTTCTACTATAATGTTTATTAATTCCTTCCTTCTGCTGGTGTTGGGTTTTATTTGTTCTTTTTCTAGCTCCTTTATGTAAAAGGTTAGGTTGTGTATTTGAGATTTTTCTTGCTTCTTGAGGCAGGCCTGTGTTGCTATAAACTTCCCTCTTTGAACTACTTTTGCTGCATCCAATATTTTTATGATTTATTAATAAAGATTGTATGTTATAAAGGCTTTTATGTGGCCTTATGTACAAATTTTAACTTTCAGTGTATTTAGAGGCCATCGTAAATTTTTAATATTTTCAAAGAGGTGTCAGTGTTTAAATTTTCCTTCCTTCCTTTCCCAAATTTTGATTAATAAACATGGCCTATATTAGTAGACCATACCAATTTATCAGTGAAAATAATTTGCAGAGTGTGTCAGTTCCATTAATTGGGTATCAGGAGTTTGGAGTTCATTGCTAAGGATGGTGGGAGTCTTAGAAAAATATTTTCTTTTTTTTGTTCTTCCTTAATGTTGCAAAGAGGTTTCTGAGAGCAGCAGTGTTGTAAAATGACACGTGTTGACCCTGGGTGTCTACAGTGTCACGTTGCTCTCCCAATATGCTTAGAAATTCTAAATGTTCCAAGAAATAAGCTTGGTAAGGGATATACACTCCTTTTATAAATCTCTAGGTCAGTCATATCCAATAAATAATAAACAGCAAATGCAAACCACATATGTAATTTTAATTTTTCTAGTAGCCACATGAATAGGAGTTGAAAGAAGCAGGTGAAATTAACTTTAATAATACATTTTTTCAACCCAAATATTCAAAATATTACCATTTTATTCTTTTTTTTTTTGAAAGATTTTTGTGTATTTGACAGAGAGAGAGAGACAGTGAGAGAGGGAACACAAGCAGGGGGAGTGGGAGTGGGAGAAGCAGGCTTCCCGCTGAGCAGGGAGCCTGATGCGGGGCTCGATCCCAGGACCCTGAGATCATGACCTGAGCCGAAGGCAGTTGTTTAACCAACTGAGCCACCCAGGCGCCCCCAAAATATTACCATTTTACATGTTGAAATAAAAATCATTGAGATATTTTACATTCTTGTGTGTGTGTGCTAAGCCTTTGAAATCTAGTGTGCATTTTACTTTACATCTCACTTCCAAGTACTGACATTTCAAGTGCTCAGTAGCCGCATGTGGCCACCATGCTGGATAGTGCAGTTCTAGATGCTTAGATGGTAGGTGTGTTTCAGGTTATTTTGATTCTGTAGAAAAATCATTAATTGTTGTTAAACAAAAACAATCTCTTTTTTGATGCCCCAAGTCAATGGAATATTAATATTTTATTTTAGATACAAATACAAGCATTTATGAACAGTAGTTTTGGGAAAATCTTATCTTCTCAGCAGGCCCTTCAGCTGCTTCAAAGGTATTTATAATGCATTAAGTGGTGTAGTTTCTAAGTGTGATAACTTTATATCTCAAAATACAATTTCAAATAAGATATTTTTGGAAATCTCCCTCTGTAAACTTTAAGACTTATAAACATTGATCTTTCTTTCAATTATCATTAAGTAAACTGGTAAAAATGTGAAATATAGTGTGATATTTTTCATTTCATTTTTTGAAGCAAAAGTCTTCCAATAAGAAAATGAAATTATTAGGGAAGCCAGGGCAAAAATGAACTATTGGGATTTCATCAAGATAAAAAGCTTTTGCACAGCAAAAGAAACAGTCCACAAAAACCAAAAGACAACCGACAGAATGGGAGAAGATATTTGCAAATGACATATCAGATAAAGGGCTAGTATCCAAAATCTATAAAGAACTTATCAAACTCGACACCCAAAGAACAAATAATCCAATCAAGAAATGGGCAGAAGACATGAACAGACATTTTTCCAAAGAAGACATCCAAATGGCCAACAGACACATGAAAAAGTGCTCAACATTGCTCGGCATCAGGGAAATCCAAATCAAAACCTCAATGAGATACCACCTCACACCCGTCAGAATGGCTAAAATTAACAAGTCAGGGAACGACAGATGTTGGCAGGGATGTGGAGAAAGGGGAACCCTCCTACACTGTTGGTGGGAATGCAAGCTGGTGCAACCCCTCTGGAAAACAGTATGGAGGTTCCTCAAACAGTTGAAAATAGAGCTACCATACGATCCAGCAATTGCACTACTGGGTATTTACCCCAAAGATACAAATGTAGGGATCCAAAGGGGTACGTGCACCCCAATGTTTATAGCAGCAATGTCCACAATAGCCAAACTGTGGAAAGAGCCAAGATGTCCATCGACAGATGAATGGATAAAGAAGAAGTGGTATATATACACAATGGAATATTATGCAGCCATCAAAAGGAATGAGATCTTGCCATTTGCAATGACGTGGATGGAACTGGAGGGTGTTATGCTGAGTGAAATAAGTCAATCAGAGAAAGACATGTATCCTATGACCTCACTGATATGAGGAATTCTTAATCTCAGGAAACAAACTGAGGGTTGCTGGAGTGGTAGGGGGTGGGAGGGATTGGGTGGCTGGGTGATAGACATTGGGGAGGGTATGTGCTATGGTGAGCACTGTGAATTGTACAAGACTGATGAATCACGGATATGTACTTCTGAAACAAATAATGCAACATATGTTAAGAAAAAAAAAGAAGAAGAAGATAGCAGGAGGGGAAGAATGAAGGGGAGTAAGTCAGAGGGGGAGATGAACCATTAGAGACGATGGACTCTGAAAAACAAACTGAGGGTTCTAGAGGGGAGGGGGGTGGCGGGATGGGTTAGCCTGGTGATGGGTATTAAAGAGGGCACATTCTGCGTGGAGCACTCGGTGTTATGCACAAACAATGAATCATGGAACACTACATCAAAAACTAATGATGTAATGTATGGTGATTAACATAACAATGAAAAATATTAAAAAAAAGAAAATGAAATTATTATACATGATTTTTCCTCCAGCTATGTAATATATTTGAGGTTAATTTCATAGCCCTCATTGGAAAGGGAGCGAATAATATTTAATTCTGCATACTGCAAGGATTTCCAAAAGTGAAATTATCTAAGGGTAGTAGATTCTCAAATTTCCCATTTTCCCTCCAGAGTGTTCCTGCTGCTTCCTTTTCCTCTGTCCTGACAACGGTGCTCCCCTGAAGAGTAGGAAGGACAGCCTGGACTACAGGCCATTTCCTTCAAGCTCAGGGAGGACTCATAGCCTCTGTTAGGGACCCTTTGGGAACTCTTTCCTGAGAGCCAGTGCCTCTGGGTTTGGGCCTAGTTTTGCTAGAGTTCCACATCTTTGTAATGATGGACCATACCTGTGAGACCTTACCTCATGACACCACTGAAAGAGTCAAACCAGACTTATGAAATGATTTTGACCAATGAAAGTACTGTACAGACAGATGGCAGTACTAATTTCTTGGCGATTTCTCTCTGTGTCTCTATCTGTCTTGCTGTCCGTCTGTCTCTCTTTTTACCTATAGTACACTGGTGTAAAATCACTTTATTATTTGGATGTTATTGTCCTAGTGCTTCCTGTGTATCACTTAGTCTGAAAGGGGAAGTGATGTTTGCCTGACAGATCATTGTTATGATATGGCCATTTGGAATGATGTGAACATTAATACTAGCAGAGGGATGCTCAGTGTGCTGGCCTCCATCTTTGCGAAGCCAACCCCCCACTCATCTTTTCAATTTTGGTTTCAATGTCTCCTTCTAAGGGAAGTCTTTCTCGACTCCCCAGACTTGGCTGGTTCCCCTGATATATGCATTTCTGGTACCCGTGTGATTTAAATAATTATTTATGTAACTCTTGACTAAATCTGCATTTTCCATAACATAACTGGAGGCTCCAGGAGGGCTGGAACTACACCTGTTGTGTTCCTCTCTGAATCCTGGGACAATGGATGAGGCCTGGTAGGGATATTTGTCAAAATGAGTGAATGCATAGGTTTTTAGGATGGCAGCAATTCTTAAGTATGTTTCTCATTTACTTTTGAATTATTCACCTTCAATTACTTTCAGATTCCAGAAGCTGCAAATCCCCTGTCTTCAGTCAGAAATAAACCATACAATTGAGCGTATTCTTCAGTTTTATGTGGCTGAACTTGAAGCTACTAAGAAGGCAAGGATCATTTTTGTAAATAGAATGATACTTTATTTTTTAAAAGATTTTATTTATTTATTTGAGAGAGAGAAAGAGAGCAAGTGAGAGAACAAGTAGTGGGGAGGGGCAGAGAGAGAGAGAGAGAGAGAGAGAGAGAGAGAGAGAAGTAGACTCCCTGCTGGGCAGGGAGCCCAACTCGGGGTTTGATCCCAGGACCCGGATCCGGACATCATGACCCGAGCCGAAGGCAGACACTTAACCAACTAAGCCACCCAGGCCCCCCCAGAATAGTACTTTAGTACAAAAAGAAAAGTATTGTGAAAGTATTTGCCATCATTATCTTGTGCTAAGCTTCTCAGAATGATCCCTTCACTACTAAGTACCTCTGATGCACCCTTCTCTATGTAGGAAGGTGTTGACGGTGTATGTCATTGGACAACCAGATTGACATCCCCATGCACTTAACAATTGTGTTTTGTTTTTTTGCAATAGCATTTATGTGTGTATAGGAAAGCCCATTGAAGTTAATATTTCTGCATGCAGAAATAGGGGCTCTGAAGAATATTATAACAGATATAGTATAGCTTATGTACTCCCTTATTTGAAGATTTCCTTAAAATTTGGGATAAAATACAGAAAAAAGATACATACAATGGGAAATAAGGGTTAAGAGAGAATTAAATATCATATATTGTAAACATCATAGTTTCTGAACCACAGATTATCACTGAAATGCATTTACATATTTATTGACTACCTCTTGTGTATAAAACATGGGAATACAAATGCATTAAATACTTTCTGCCTTTTCCATTATATTGAATTTTAAACATTAATACCAGATCTTTAATTACAGCTTTATCATTCTCAAAAAGATGACCCTCCTCTTGCTCGCAACATGCCCCCTATTGCAGGAAAAATACTTTGGGTGAGGCAGCTCTATCGACGGATAAGTGAACCCATCAACTATTTCTTTGTAAGCCAATAGTTACATTTACAGTATGAGGATTATGGTGGTTTTAATATAAGACATATATTTTATCCTGTAATGTTTGTGTCCAATAAAGTAGTTAGAGCTACTGCTTTCACGAGGCAAAGCAAATTTAGTTTATAAATATGCTTGAGGGAGACTAAACCAATTCTCTCATGTTTTGGTAGGTAAGCTCACTTAATTACAGTTAATCTTTAAGGGGGAGAATCATAACCTTATGACTTTTAGTAATACAGGACAGTTTATCAAGGCTTTTTTTAAAAAAGATTTTATTTATTTATTTGACAGAGATAGCGAGAGCAGGAACACAAGCAGGGGGAGTGGGAGAGGGAGAAGCAGGCTTCCCGCTGAGCAGGGAGCCTGATGCAGGGCTCGATCCCAGGACCCTGGGATCATGATCTGAGCCGAAGGCAGACGCTAACGACTGGGCCACCCAGGTGCCCCTTTTCAAGGCTTTTAAAGAGTCATTGTTTTGAAAACAATAAAGTCTAGGCATAGTCCTGAAGATTACTTCTATGTGTGGACAATTTAGTGAAGGTGAAGACACTCTTAGTATGTTCCTGACTTAAGAATTGAGATCTAGAGCAAAGTATAATAGAGTACATGCCTTCTCTGTGTCCTTAAAGTTATTAGATTTCTGAAAAGCCCCAGGATACTCTTAGGCCCTGTTGGCATTCTGAAATTGCCAGTTGGCTTTCTCTTTGATTTTGGTTTGGTTTGATTTTGTAAAGAGACAGACTCACAAAGCAGTTGGTTTTCTTAGGGCACCATCTTATGCCTAAATACAGAACAAAATAAGTACCAAAAATAGTCTTGCAGGTAATTTTAGTATTTAAGCATTCTTGAAAGTTAAGTTTCCATTGTTTCTGTTCGGCTGCTCTTAATCATTTTACTATTCTCACTATTTGTAAAAAAATTCAAAGCCTGGTCTTAAAATAGTGGCCAGGGTGGGGACTCCATTGCTGATTGATTCTGCATGACAGAGCCGAGATTGCCCTGTTTTTGACATCTGCGAATCAAACATAAAATGTTCAATGTTTACATAAAGAAATTGGTTTTTGTTCTTTGATATACGCTTTTTTTTTTCAGTGCTGGAATTTGGGGTTTTCCCTGATACTCACAGGTCAAGGAAAATCAGTCCATTGTATCTTTTTTCCTTTTTATTTAATATTATTATTAATTAAATATTTCAAACCCACACAGTATAGAAAATACAAAACTGATATCTTATCCAGAATTGTGGGGCGGGAATAGAGAATTGAAGGCAGAGTTCTCTCAGCCTGGCCAGCTGTTAAGGCTAGAGACCTTTCTTTCTTAAATCCTTTATTTCCTTTTCCAATGTTCCCTTTCCACCGGTAACATTTCCCTACTTCCGTCTCTAGTTTGTATGGCTTACCTCATCTCTGTTTTACTCGGAGGCAAAATGTAAGGCATAATTATTTGATGACATTTTAAATAACAGCTTTCTGATTGGGATATGAAAACAATCAGCAGTCTTTTAATTATAAATCTTTTTCTTCCCCTTTAAAAAACAGAAAAACTCAGAAATTTTGTCAAGTGCGGAAGGTAAAGCTGTCATTCGTCAGTATAACAAAATTTCCTATGTTCTGGTGGAATTCGAGGTGGTCTATCACACAGCCTGGATCAGAGAGGTCTCGCAGTTACAGTATGGTGTGTATAAGAAATGCAGTGATGCTATGGAGGGGGTGTTAGGTGATTTTGAATGAAGTCATGGTTCTGGAGAATTTTCACATCCCTTTTATACAATATTACGATGGTTACATTTAGATTTGGGGATGATACAATTTTTTTTTTACAGTTGTTAATAAGATTCTGATTCTATAAGCAAAAGTTGTCATCACCTTAGAGTTGATATACTTCGATTGTGACTTTCCACTAAAAAAACCCAGTATTTAAAAGTAAATATTGAGACCCTTCATAGATATTTCTCCATAGATTTAGGGGAAGTTTTCATACTCAGTTTTGTCATAGATTCATTGTTATAGATTCAAATCCCGGTCCCAATCAGGGGAGAAAGAATTGTACTTGCTTGTCTTCCTTCCTCCCTTCCATTCTTTCTTTTTCTATAACTGAATTTAACTTCACTTTTGAACTCCAGGAAATTCAGAGTATTAGAGCTGTTTCTAAGTACCTCTGCGGGGTGCCAAAGCATTGGGTGGAGTCCGCTGTGAGGCAGGGGATGGATGGTTTCAAGCCATCATGCATCCATGCTGCCATCACCTGGGCTGTTTGTTACCATGGGGGCTCAATTGTTCAGTTCAGGTTCCGCTGTGTCCCATCTTAACCTTAAACTCTTATCTGTAATCTTGGTGGAACCCTGACTGTGTCCCTGGACAGAAAGGTTTCTCCCTCCCATACCAGGATCCCCACCCAGAATGGTACAAAACTACAGGCACAGGAAGCACAAATCCTGTGGTTGCGTCACTGGGAGTGATAGTAAGAGGGGCCACTCTTTTTCTGCCTCTTGGTTCCAGACCCATATATTTTAGCTGTTTGAGGACATGTCACTGTTACTACCATTGATTCGCTCATGCCTGTGTCCTGGAGGACAGGTCCCAGACCTGCAGATTGTCTTCCCCAATTGGCCCCTTAGTTTAGCCTTTAATAAGCCACTTGTACCAGGCCAGCTGTTTCTGGGTAATGAGTGTGGTAGGACCCTATGGATCCTCCTGAAAACTAGCTAAGGAACAACCCTCCCAAGGAGCATCAAGAGAAACTTAAAGTTCACATTATGGAAAAGAACAAAAGAGAATTGTTAACTGAAGTATGGAGCAGGCAGTATTTGGCTCCTACAATATCATACGCTTTTCTACTTTTCTTTTGTCCTGATGGTTTTTCCTCATGTTCAAAAACAAGTTCACCAGTCACCTCTTCCGTATAGCCCCTCCTTATTTTTCCACAGCAGAAAATAACGTCTTCCTCCTCCAGAGTCCTCTACTCACTTTATCTGCTCTTGTTTCTCATGACACTTATGGCTTTAGGGATCTGTCTCATCTCCCCTTCACATTCCAAGGATACTCTGTTTCATCTTTGTATCCTTTAAATAACAGTCAGTGATAACGAACACTTACATAGTTCTTACCCTGTGCCAGGCTTTGTCAAAGCACTTTACATATGCAGCTTCCTTTAATCCTCATGGCGACCCTACGAGGAGCTATAATTATCATCATTTTATAGATGAGGAAGCTGAGGTACTAAGAGATTAAGTCATTTGCACAAGCTCATCACACAGCTAGGAAGTGGCAAAGCTGAGCTTTAAATCTGCCTTTCCTACGAACACAGGTTAGTGGAAATGAATTGCTCAGCAAGGCTTCTTATTATATTGACGTGGCTATATGTAACCATATAGGAACTCGGAATAATAATTGAGGACCTGGTATTGGCCTCTTTCAGATGGTTGCTCTATAAATTTTAATGAAATGTCACTCAGTCCTGGAGCTGACTTCTTGGCTGTCATTATTCTTGGTGGTCTTGCTGACCATTTTGTCCTTTCAAGAAAACTCAGTACAGCCTTAAGGAAGATAGATTTCATTAAATGAATGTTCCAAGGTTATTTTGGAATTTCCTTGAGAGGATAAATGATTTCTAACCCAATTTTAAAAAGGTTCCAAACAAATTAGGTAAAATTTTTAGTTGAAATCCTCATGCAGCCAGCATCATTAAGAACCATTTCAAGACTAATTTTATCTGATGAGTAAAAGTCAACTAACTTCAAAGGAATATATGGACTATTTCATTTTACTAGAAATTCGATGCAGCCACATTCTATGAAGTAATGAGAGGCTTGGAAGATATGTAAGAAATTCTCATGTTAGTAGTGTTTGCTAATATAAGATATAATTTAAGCTAGCACATACTCATCTAGAAGTGTGTTATTATTATGCCTGTAGAAGTAATTCACGTTAGGATAACAAATAAGCTAAGGCTACTCACCACTAACCGGGATTATATATTTCAATTCATAATAAAAAGCATGCCTGCAAATTCCTATTTATATGAATGATGTTCAGGTAGGGATGGTTTCAAGCCATCATGCATCCATGCTGATGTAGGTGTAGCATAAAAAAAAATCTTTCTCTATATCCTAGAAGCTCACAATGCCATGGTGTTTAATAAATACATCTTACTGATATTGAGCTTAGTTACCATACATTCAAGATGGAGGCTTAATTCTTCCTTTAAAGAAGCAGTTTGGGGTTCATTGTGGAAAAGGGTTTGTCATATGAGGTATGTCATATTTTATAGTTGTGCACACCTTCCAGTTCTCTCCCAGGGGTGAAATCACAATCCATTAAAAGAAACTACATTGTATTATAGCTCTCTTAGACCCACTCAGAAAAGTGTTGCAGTTCATAGCACGAAGGCTATCTGTTCTTCATTCATTTTTATCTCTCCAGATCTGATTTTTGGGCTTGCAGACATTCTGCATTCACTTATTTAAGTTTTGAGCACTGACCACATGTCAGATGCTATGCCTCATCACCTGGGATATCCAACACTATTGTTCTATTAAGAAGTCAGTTCCCAGTGGGGAAGACAGGTGTGTAAACATGGCTGGAAGCAGAGAGGGCATGTATTGAATGGAGCATTGGGTGTTATACGCAAACAATGACTCATGGAACACTACATCAAAAACTAATGATGTAATGTATGGTGATTAACATAACATAATACAATAAAATAAAAAAAAGAAAGCCAAAAACAAACAAAAACAAAACAAAACAAAAAGAAATCCAGAAAAACTAATGTCAATAATCATTTATTTGTAGCTTTACAAGCCACACTTTTTGTGCGACACCCAGAAACCGGGAAGTTGCTGGTTAATTTTGATCCCAAAATTCTGGAAGTTGTTCGGGAAACTAAGTGCATGCTAAAAATGAAGTTGGATGTACCAGAACAGGCAAAGAAATTGCTAAAATTGGAAAATAAATTGAAAGCAGACAAATTGCATTTGCAGGTAAAATAGATTATATACATATATTTTATTATTTTTTTTTATTTTTTTATTTTTAAAGATTTTATTTATTTATTAGAGAGCGAGCAAGAGAGAAACAGCATGAGAGGGGAGAGAGTCAGAGGGAGAAGCAGGCTCCCCACTGAGCTGGGAGCCCGATGTGGGACTCGATCCCAGGACCCCGGGATCATGACCTGAGCCGAAGGCAGTCGCTTAACCAACTGAGCCACCCAGGCGCCCTATATACATATATTTTAAAGATTTTATTTATTTGAGAGAGAGGGCACGAGAGAAAAAGAGAGCACATGCATGTGTGCACAAGCGTGAATGGGGGAGGGGCAAAGGGAGAGAGAATCTGAAGCTGACTCAGTGCAGAACCTGATTTGGGGCTCCATCCTTTGACTTTGAGATCATGACCTGAGCTGAAACCAAGAGTCCAATGCCCAACTGACTGAGCCACCCAGGCACCCCAAGATAGATTATATTTTAAAATTATTTTTGAAGGAGGTTTTTTTTTTTAAAAAAGAAAATTAAATCACTGCAGTTGTGCTGATGTGGTATTGATTATTTTCATTTTTCTTCAGCTTTATTGAGGTACAGTTGATGAATAAAATTATAAGATATTTAAAGTGTACATCATGATGATTTGTTATAAATATACATTATGAAAGGATTCCTCTCATGTAGTTCATTCATCACCTCATATATATATGTAACATACATATATATGTATATATTAAACCAGAAAGAAACAGTATATATCTGTTTATATATACACATATATATTTGTTTCTTTTTGGTGAGAATGTTTAAGTCCTATTCTCTTAGCAAAATTCAATTATATGATATAGTGTTATCAGTTACAGACACCATGTTATACATTGGATCTTCAGTCCTTATTCATCTTTTACCTGAAAGATTGTACCCTTTTACCGACCTCTTCCTATTCCCTCCCTACCTCTAACACCTGGCAAACACTTTTCTACTGTTTTTACAAGTTCAGCTTTTTAAGATTCCACATATAAGTGAGATCATATAGTATTTGTTTTTCTCTGTCTGCCTTATTTCATTTAGCATAAGGCTTTCAAGGTGCATCCATGTTGTTGCAAATGGCAGGATGTCTTTCTTTCTCATGGCTGAATAATACTCCATTGTGTATATATACCATATTTTCTTTATCCATTCATCTATTGATGGATGTTTCTATATCTTGGCTATTGTAAATAATGCTGCAATGAACATGGGAGTGTAGATATCTCTTCGAGATCCTGATTTCATTTCCTCTAGATCTACATTCAGAAGTGGGATTGCTACATCATATGGTATTTTTATTTTTAACATTTTGAGGAACCTCTATACTGTTTTCTATGGTGGCTGCACCAATTTACATTCACACCAACAGTGTACAAGGGTTCCCTTTTCTCCATATGTTGGCCAACACTTGTTATCTCTTGTCTTTTTGAGAATAGCCCTTCTAACAGGTGTGAGGTACCATCTCATTGTGGTTTTGGTTTGCATTTCCCAGATGGTTAGAGATATTGAGTACCTTTTCATGGACCTATTGGCCATTTGTGTGTCTTCTTTGGAAAAATGTCCATTCAGTTCCTTAGCACATGTTTTAGCTGGATTGTTAGAGTTTTTTGCTATTGAGTTGTGTGAGTGAGTTCCTTATATATTTTGGCTATTAACCCTTTATCAGATACATGATTTGTAAATATTTTCTCCAATTCCATAGGCTGCCTTTTCATTTTGTTGATGGTTTCCTTTGCTGTGCAGAAGCTTTTAGTTTATATAGTCCACTTGTTTATTTTTGCTTTTGTTGCTTGTGCTTTTGGTATTAAATCCGAAAATCACTGCCAGGACCGATGTCAAGGAGCTTACCCCCATGTTTTCTTTTTGGAGTTTTACAGTTTCAGGTCTTAAATTTAATTCTTTAATCCACTTTGAGTTGATTTGTGTGTGTGTTATAAGATAGGTGTCCAGTTTCATTCTTTTGCATGTGACTGTCCAGTTTTCCCAACACTATTTATTAAGGAGACTGCCCTTTTACTTTTGTATAGTTTTGGCTCCTATTTCTGGGCCATCTATTCTGTTCCCGTGTTTATTCTTTTTTATTTTATTTTATTTTCTATTCCAGTATAGTTAACATACAGTGTTGTATTCCCTTGTTTCTTCTTTATAGTATTAAAATACTGATGTGCAAATAGGAGTTTGGGAACAGAAAAGGAGGAAAGGAATTAGTAAGTTCAAAACTATTGAGTAAACATTGAAATAGTTTAATATTGTTTATTTGGGGAAGAATTAACTTGAATCCACATTTCCCATCACACCATGCAATAAATTACAAAATGATCAAAAGTTGACCATTATGGTTGATCTCTAAAAAATATCTAAAAGAAAATAGATAAGCCTAGTAACTGACTGTGCATACATTTATTTTGATTCAAGAAAAGAAGTGTGGCATCAGTAACAAGTATGCTTTAATGTGTCAGAAGACAAGGAACAGAAAGGGGAAAAATGTGTAATGACAGATATTGTGAAAAGATAATTATCCAAGCTATTTGAAATAATGTAAATATAGAAATATAATTAAATAATAAATTGAAACGTGCCACTCTAGAAAGCTCCACTGACTTGCTGTTTAAAGTACATTTACAGGTGAGGAAAAAGTATGGTAAATTAATTTAAATTTAGGTGAGCAGCCTTAATCTTGGCAGGACTATGAGGAAACATTATAATGAAACCTTCCTGGTATGAATCAAAATATGACCTGCTTTAAAATAAATTAAAGTCACACATATCATTTTGACTTTCAACAGGGTCTTCTGCAGTATTACGATGACTTATGTCAGGAAGTGCCTTCGGTGTTTGTCAATCTAATGACCCCTAAAATGAAAAAGGTTGGTAATGCTGAAGGTTTATATTGATTTCCCTATTGTTTAAAATTAAATTCCCGTTCTACAGATTATGGATTTTAGAACATCTATTCTTGCCTAGATCCTCTGTCTTTCTAGTTCAACATTATAGCCCTATTTTTCCTATAGAATGACTTCTTGTCAACAAATTTTGTTGCCTTTGAAAAACAACTAAATCTCAATAATGAGCACTTTCTAAGAATCCATGATTCTTCATGGACAGCCAAAGATGATTAAAAAACAAAGTCACCTTTACCAGGTATAATGGAGGGAAATATAATTAAGGAAATATAACCTATAATATTTCCAGGTAATAAAAGAAAGCCTTTTTTTTTTTTTTTTTTTTTTGTAAGTGTAGGTGTTCCTGTTAATCATGGAAGCTGCTACTTTTTTTTTTCTTTTTCTAGGTGGAATCTGTGTTGAGACAAGGGCTCACAATATTAACATGGTCATCTTTAACACTGGAAAGCTTCTTTCAAGAAGTTGACTTAGTTTTGGATATGTTCAATCAACTTTTAAAGAAGGTATGATAGATACATTTTTAAAAACTACGTACATTCACACGCAGGCTATAAGGAATAGTTTGCTTATCTATGAAAGCTATTTAAAGGGTGTGACTTTTAACTAAAGGGACTCCTATTAAGTTAAAAAAATAATGCTTTATGTTTCTCTAGCTACTTTGGGGCCTTTTCATTTAGGGTTGCCTTGTTTTTGTGTCTGAATTACTTGCCTTCAGTATGTTAAAATGGTAGTTCAACTCCACTGGGCAGTTTAGAAAATGGGGTAATGGTAGACAGTAGCAGATGACAGAATGGAGTGCTTAAATATTAATACATCTACTATTAGTTAGATGAGGCATTCATCTAATTGGAGACTGTCTGTTGATTTCTGATATCTTTGCTATACAGATCATGCATGCCTTTTTAGATATGCTGGTCTGTGATGGCAGCATGTTACAATAGACAAAACTTGGAGGCCTGGGAGTCAGCTAAACCTAGTTACAATGATCGGCCTTTTGCTATCTATGCGTTCCTTCCTAGGTTACTTTACTTATCTGAGTCTTTGTTTCTTTAGCTGTATAACTTGGATAGTAAGTGAGTCAAGGACTAGAGTAAGGATTAAAAGAGATAACACATGAGATTATGGCACATGATGCTTGCTCTATAAAACTTTAGTTCCACATTAAGCCTTCTTTGCAGATGTACTCCTAAAATTTCCGCGAAATTGTGCTTGGCTCAGGACCCAAGTTTCTAGATATAGCCCTCTAAATTAGTTTATAACTCAAGTACATTTGGATGAAAGAAGAGTTTTCCTCTACATTTTTTTTTCTTGTTGGTAGATCAGTGACTTGTGTGAAATGCATATTGATACCGTTCTAAAGAAGATAGCCAAAACTGTGTTAATTTCCCTGCCTGAAGGTGGTGCTACCAAAGTAGAAGATATGTTGACGCTCAATGAGGTATGCATTTATGTATTTTTTTTTCTTGTTGGTAGATCAGTGACTTGTGTGAAATGCATATTGATACCGTTCTAAAGGACATAGCCAAAACTGTGTTAATTTCCCTGCCCGAAGGTGGTGCTACCAAAGTAGAAGATATGTTGACGCTCAATGAGGTATGCATTTATGTATTATGTTTTAATCGTAGAAATCCTGGCTCATAAACCTAAAATGTGAATTTACAATCTAACAGTGGAAATCTCTGTCAGTAGCATATAGAGATCCTAGCTTTTTTTGAAAGCCTCAGATCCAAAGACTCAGCATGGCTTCAACAGCTCAAGCCTATGGCCACACCCTAGACAGGATCTTACTAATATCCTCAACCTCAGGCTGGAGTCTCCTGGGTTTCCAGCAGTGGCTCACTGTTCTTTCTTCGGTGGACATCGAGTACCTCTTGGTTTTAACTACCACAAACTTTCCCTTAAGCCACTCACAGAAATCTGGGAGTCATCTGGAATCCTTTCCTCACTCCCATTTTCTAAATCCAGTCAATCTTGAGGCTTAGCGAGTTTTTTGCCTTTTACTCCGTTTGCTTGAATTGCCTCTTCTTTTCCATTCTTACTACTCCCTTCCTATGTCAGGCCCTTAAGGCTCATTCTGAATTTAGCAATTGATGTTATGATCTAACTGTTCTCTCTGCCTCCCTATTTGGCCCTCATATCCATTCTCCACACTGCCACTCATGATCTTAAATCCTTCAACAGCAGTAGCATCCAGTCTCTACAGGACAAAACCTAACCTCCTCAGCATCACAATATACTGAAATTCTTTGAGTGCCTATTTATCCTCCATTGGCTCAAAATCACAAAGACAGGAACCCTGTCTAATCATTTTTGAGGCCTGGCACAAAGCAATCTCTCTCAGAAACACTCACTTTATATCTTGAACCAGATTCTTTTTTCTTTCTTGCCTGCCATGTGCTTCAACTACACTCAACCCTGCTGGTTTGGGTCACCTGGCTCGTGTTAACCAAAGGTGGTTCTGTTTCAAGGGGTCCAATCCAGCCCATGGGATACAAGTGCTTTTGCCTCTCTTTCTATGGAAATGCAGGCTCTTCTTGCCTTTAGGGGTTTGGGTAGCCTGCTGGTCTCTTGCCTTAGGACCACTTAGGCATGGGTCAACCCCTCTATCCCCAAATTCTAGAGGACATGGGTCAGGGTCTCTGAGTAGTTCCTTTGAAGTACTCTACACTTATTTCTACTTGATCTCTACCAATGATCAAGCTTCCTTTCTATAATCTCAAGATGGGCAAAGGGCTGATGGTTGCCTTGCCTGCTACCATTTAAGAATCACCTTCTTCAGACAATTATCAGATGATCTCACTGATATGAGGAATTTGAGAAATGAGACAGAGGATCATGGGGGAAGGGAGGGAAAAATGAAACAAGATAAAACCAGAGAGGGAGACAAACCATAAGGGACTCTTAATCTCAGGAAACAAACTGAGGGTTGTTGGAGTGGAGGGGGGTGGGAGGGATGGGGTGGTTGGGTGATAGATACTCCGGAGGGTATGTGCTGTGGTGAGTGCTGTGAATTGTGTAAGGCTGATGAATCACAGACCTGTACCCCTGAAACAAATAATACATTATATGTTAGTAAAAAAAAAAAAAGAACTGCCTTCTTCATAATGTGTAGGATCTTAAAGTTATTTGTTCTCAGCATTGGGACATTGGCTGTAACAGAGACAACACTAAATGACCCATTTTTGCATCCTGTTCTTGGAGCATGCAAGTTTAAAATGATTGTGCCTTCCTGGCCATTTGTTCCTTCTATCATTGTTAAGCTTTTAATCTTTGAAGACTATTTTATTTGACATTATTATAGCTACACCAAACATTTTTGGTTATTATGTTCCAGATATATCTTTACCATTCTGGGTTCTCCTATTTTAGGTTTTCTCTTCTAAAGAACAGTTAGCTGGTTTTGTTTTTAACCTACTGTGAAAAATCTGTCTTTTTTTTCTTTTTGCAAATTACCATATAAATTTAATGCACTTCCAATTAGAATTCCTATACCTTTCTTTTCATAAGTTGGATTAAATTATATTATTTTTAAATGATGAGTAATGAATAGGTAATAAAAAGTGAAAATACTTAAAGCCATTGTAATCAAATCAATATGGCGTTAACAGAAAAAAATATAATTTAGAGGAACAAAATAAAGAATCTAGGAGAAAAAGATCACAATGAAAGATTAATACACATCAAAGGTAATATTTTAGTTCAGTGGTAAAAATGATGGATTAATTAAATGGTGCTGGCACCACACACTGTTTCTCAGGAAGAAAATACGATTAGGTGCATATCTCTCTTTTTTTTAATTATTGAAGTATACTTGACATACAATGTTAAATTAGTTTTAGATGTACAACACGGTGATGGACAATTCTGTACATTACTCAGTGCTCACCACAATAAACATAATCACCCCCTGTCACCATACATTGTTACAATATTGTTGACTATTGAATACTCTATCTTGTACTTTACATCTCTGTGATGGATTTATAACTAGAAGTTTGTACCTCTTAGTTCTCATCACCTATTTTATTTTATTATTTTATTTTTTTTAAAGATTTTATTTATTTATTTGAAAGAGAGAGAGAATGAGAGAGAGCAAATGAGAGGGGGGAGACTCAGAGGGAGAAGCAGACTCCTCGCCGAGCAGGGAGCCCAATGCGGGACTCGATCCCGGGACTCCAGGATCGTGACCTGAGCCGGAGGCAGTCACTTAACCAACTGAGCCACCCAGGCGCCCTCTCATCACCTATTTTATCCATCTCTTCACCCCCATCCACTCTGGCAACCACCAGTTTATTTTCTGTATTTATCAGTCTGTTTCTGTTTTTTTTTTTTTTTTTGGTCTGTTTGTTCATTTGATTGTTTGTTTTGTTTCTATCCATGTTGTTATAAATAGAAAGATCTCATTCTTTCTTATGGTGGGGTAATATTCCATTGTTTATATATCACATCTTTCTTTATCCATTCATCTATTGATGGACACTTGGGTTGCTTCCATAATTTGGCTATTGTAAATAATGCTGCAATAAGCATAGGGGTGCATGTATCCCTTTGAATTAGTGTTTTTGTATTTTTTCTGTAAATACGTAGTAGTGTGATTACTGGATCATAGAATAGTTCTATTTTTAACTTTTTGAGGAACCTCCATACTGTTTTCCACAGAAGCTTTGCCAGTTGGCATCCCCACCAGTAGTACAAAAGTGTCCCTTTTCCTCCACATCCTTGCCAACACTTGTTTGTTGTGTTTTTGATTTTAGCCATTCTGACAGGTGTGAGGTGATATCTTGTGTTTATGACATGTACTTCCCTGATCAGTGACATTGAACATCTTTTCATGTGTCTCTTGGCCATTTGTATGTCTTTTTGGAAAATGTCTTTTTGGTGTTAAAATGTTTCCATCTTTGTTCAGTAGAATCCTTCTATATTTTTTATATGACTCTAGTAGTCTTTGAAAGCTTCCTTGCTTTCTGGAACTATAGGGTATCCTAGGCTTATCTTGTACATTTCCTGTTCCAGATCTGGGATCACCCATTTCTCCAGTCAGCCCTCATTCCTTTCTATGTTACCAGTGGAAAATAGTATATGGAGATCACAATCTGGGTCCTAGGAAAGGCACTCATTTTAAACTTTTAGCTATTCCTTATAGTATTATTTCTGCATCTCCAAATAGTATACTTAGGGTACTATTTCTTGAATTGACAAATTTGCACATTATTTTCTTCCTGCTTTAATAAGTGAGCATTCAGCTCTTTGACCCTATCCTCTATCACTCCTCCCTTGTCTTCTCAATATAGTTATAAAATAATTTTTAGTTAAACAGTAATGGTAAATAGCAACACTTAATTATGCCTATATAGATATTAGCCAATGCAGAACCATGTATGGTACATGTAATGTATTTTTTCTTATACAACTTTTTTGTTTTTCTTGGGGTTTCTAATTGCCTTTGTTTTCACATGTTCTTTCAGATACACTATTATATCACAGTTCCATTTTTCCCCCCAAGTGACTTCCTCTCAGAGCCCTCTGAATGCCTGTTTTTAACCTGGGTTGATTAGTCTCTAGGTCAGCTGCAAAATTATTAACCTGGGACTCTCCCTGTTTGCTCTATTTTCTGGATTCCATATTATTCTAGGAGAGACGGCCCTTCAGATGCTGAAATGGTCTTTTCTGAGCAACTGAAATTTTCCAAAGAAGAAGTCTCCTGCTTCCTGCCCTGGGGGGCTAGGGGTAATTTCCTGCCTGTCATTTTCTTCTCACTTATTCTAGGATCTGACTATATGCACTTCATACCAGGTCTTACTTATAAACAAACAGAATACAACGAAGCAGGGAATACCTATATCGGTATCCTTTTTGTCCCGTTTACAATGATAATCATTTTCTATTGGTATGTACGTATAACTGTTGTGACACTATCAACTGCTTAGTGGGGGAAAATTCACACTACCAGATATAATTTATTTTGAACACACAAAGAAATTTTATATGCATAGAAAGAGAAACAGATCACACAAATCAGGGAAATTGGAATAGATTAAGTGTGACCAAGTTTGAATGTGGTGATTGCATTGATATCACAACAGAAGATGCTATTACTATTAGATAAGTGATAAGTTAAGATACAGGAGGTGGGAATTTTGAAGAGTGCTTTGCCAATCAATATGCCCCAGTAAATTGCATCAGAGGGATCCAAGGTCTAGTAATATGTGGGCTGCTTATTACCCACATATTAATAAGGTGGGCCATTATAATGAAGGCAGAGTAAGATTTATAATGACAGGGCAAATCTGGTAATATTCTGGACAGAAATACATTTTGGAAACAAACCATACATAATGCTAATTTTGGTGGGAGGTTAGTGTGGGCCAACCAGTGGTTTCAAACCATATTTGGGAACCATGGATATTTGCAGTCAGGGAACTGGTCCTTGACTTGGAGCATCTAACTGGTTTTAGGAGAGGTTATGTTCATTATTAAAAAGCTGTCATCCACTGGCTTCACATTGGATCTTTTGCTCTATGATGCTGAGGCTGGGACTCTGCAAAGTACATTTATCTTTGGCCAGCTGGCCCCCTTTTAGGCTTTGCCAATAGTTGTGCTAGAAGGTGGGTGGAGGAGAGAGAAAAGGCTTGCTCTTTCCTGTTTTTCTTCCTGTTCCCAATACAGTCAGACAACCTCTCGACTGGCAGTGGCAGTTAATCCTAGGTCCTAGCTTTTTCCAGCCTTTCCAGAACCAGCTTCTTGTGCTTCTCAGATGTACCAACACCATGACGTCCTTCTCTGAGGCAATAGTACCAGCTGAGCAGCACCCTCACTTCCCAGCTCCAGGTTCTAAAAACTCCAGCCTCTTGCCTTTGCTCTCCCACACCCCAGGTCCGGGAGCTGCTTCCTGCAGTAACTCTCTGTGTGACTTTTGTGTCCCCTTTTGCCTTTTTGGGTCCTTTGACAGTTGTTTAATCACTTCTCTATATTACATTCTCTCATTCTGTTTGGTAAAATAGCTGGCGTGGCATCTGTTTTCCTGACTGAAACCTGACTGACATATATGTAGCCTGATAGGTATACAAATGGAATAGAAAATCAGGGAAATGAGATCCAAGCTATGATAGGAAAACTGGTAAATACATTAAAGGGTATTAAAAGTTATTTCAACAATATCAACTTGGCTCCATAGAGACAGAAAGTAGATTAGTGGCTGCCAGGTCTGTGAGGGTGGGTGAATGAAGAGGGACTGCTAATGGGTTTGGGGATTCTTTCTGGGGGAGATGATAATGTTCTGGAAATAGATAGCAGCAATGGTTGCACAACTTCTGTGAATATACTAAAAACCAATGAATTGTGTACTCCACAAGGGTAAGTTTTGTGATATTATATTGTGAATTATATCTTATAAATAAAAAAGAAAAAAATCAATTTGACGGTTTTCCAGTCTATCCCTGGACTGCCCTTCAGTTCAGTCTGTTCTTCACTGAGTTCTAAGAATGGTCCATGGAGAAAGGTCCGACCTCTTTTCAAAATCTTGGTCCTCCAAATGGGCCCCAAATCTCACACCTTTTTGCCTTCTTGACAACTTTCCTCCCCCAGTCTTCTTCCCTCTCTTCTCGATCTTCATTTTTCCCCTTCACCAGACCCCTCCTACTAGCAGTCTAATACATTCTATTGTCTTTTCCTTGCCAACAAACAAAAACTTTCCTACACCTCCCTTCACTTCTCATTCACAACCAAACTTCCCATGCATGCTGCCTTCATTTTCCCATCCTTCATTTCCCATCTCCATTTGTTTTCCCCAATTCCTGGCTCAAATTTTTTCTGGCATGAATTATTATTTTTAATAACTTTATGGAGATATGATTCACACAACATACAATGTACCCATTTAAAGTGTACGATCCAGTGGTTTTAGTTTATTCACAGAGTTGGGCAACCATCATCACAATTTTAGAACATTTTTCATCTTAACTCTTCCAGCCCTGGGCAACCACTAATCTGTGTTCTCCCTCTTTAGAGTTGTTTATTTTCCATGCTCATCTGAAGTGGCTCTCACCACTGTAATTCCAGTGTTAACCACTGTGTTGAATAAACCAGAAAGGGTGGAATGAATGAGTGATGGAACCAGGTGGGAAGGGTTGGTAGAGTGGAGAGGGGAGAAGAGAATATCTTCAGGTAGGAGGAGGAACACCATTTCTTCTGAGACTGAGAAAAGATGAGGATGGGTTCAGATACACATGAAGTGGGATAAATGAGAGCGAGAGACTTAGAAGTAGCTCTGTCAATCCAGTAGCCAAGAAAGGAACACGTGAGGGCAGTACATGAGAAATATGGGATTTCTGTGTCTTATCTGGACAGAAATTTGCATAGACAGGCTCAAGTCCCTTTGCAGAAGTGGCTTTAAAGGCCCATGTTGGCTGCTTCCATTTATTTTTCTCTTCCCTAAAATGTATGGACATTATAGATGTCAGAAGACCTGTTCAACTTTATAGGCCAGTTTTATTTTCTGAATTTAATTAGTTCTTAATTTCTTCCCAAAGCCTATTAGAAAAGTTCAGAAAGACAGAGCACAGATTTTAAAATCAGACAGCACTGGTTTCAAACTCCTATTGTTCCCCAGCTGCTATGTGACCTTGGACAAGTTGCTGATTCTTTCTGAGCCTCAGTTTTCTCATTGGTGAAATGGGGACAATAATATTACCTATCTCAAGTGGTCGTCATTTAGTTAAATGAGTTATTACATCTAAAGCTCTTAAATTGATGCCTGGCATAAGTGAGCACCATGCTCACTTTAAAACCTTATTTCATTTGAATCTCAAAGCAACTCTTTGGATTGTCCTTTTATGAAACTACTTCTCATTTCCAACTTTTGACATCCTTATCTCTCTTGTTCTTCAGCCTTCTTTTTTTTTTTTAAAGTAAACTATATACCCAACATGGAATTTGAACTCATGATCCCAAGGTTAAGAGTCATATGTTCTACCGACTGAGCCAGCCAGCTGCCAGTCACCATATAAATGTGAATGTAGATGTCTGTAGGTGATCAAATCAGATAAAAGTCAAAGACTTTGAGTTTTTCTTTTTCTCTCCTCCTTTTCTTTGCTTGGGCCTTAGCAGCTATGCCTTTAGCCTTGACAGTTTTGGATCTAAAACATTATGCTATTGGCAACTCTCTAGTCATTTTCAAGTGGTGTTAATTATACTTTTAGAAATTAAAGTTATATTAATAATTTTTACAGCATTTTTAAGTACCTGTAAATTAATAGTCATTGCCTTATTTAATAGACATACACAAAAGAATGGGCTGATGTTCTAAACCACAAAAGTAAGCATGTGGAAGAAGCTGTCAAAGAACTTATATCAATATTTAAAAGTATTTATGAAGTTAAGGACAGTGGGAAAACAGCAAAACCATTACCAGGTAATTTTGCTAGTTTTAATGCTTGAGTTATAGTATTATAATCACAAAAGTGATAGATATGTTCTCAGGTGTGTGCCTTCTGCTTAGCAGGTACCCAAATTCCAGACTCTCTGAAGGAAAGCATGTGTTCATCATTTGCACAAACTACTTAGGCACAGGGAAGCTTTTTATCAGCTAAACAATGGTGGGAATCAGATGCCAACCAAGGACCAATGTTGCAAACAAGTGTCAGGCCTGCTGTGTTAATCTTTCTCTCTCTCTCTTTTTTCTTTTAGCACAGCATGCTAAAATGTCTGGAGACATTTTTGGTCATCATGCAGCATGGGGGATGCTGCTGGCATCTAGTGTGGGTAGAGCTCAGGGATGCTGTTGAACATTCTACAGTGCACAGGACAGCCTTCAATAACCAAGAATATCAGTAGTGCTAAGGCTAAGAAACTATGAGCTTAAATAACTATCCACAGCCTTGGAACTAGAGGGTATTATGCTAAGTGAAATAAGTCAATCAGAGAAAGACAATTACCATATGATCTCACTCATATGTGGAATTTAAGAAACAAAAGAGAGGATCATAGGGGAAGGGAGGGAAAAATAAAACAAGACAAAATCAGAGAGGGAGACAAACCACAAGAGACTTTTTCTTTTTTAGATATTATTTATTTATTTGACAGAGAGAGAGACAGCTAGAGAGGGAACACAAGCAGAGAGAGTGGGAGAGGGAGAAGCAGGCCTCCTGCTGGGCAGGGAGCCCCATGCGGGCTCGATCCCAGGACTCTGGGATCATGACCTGAGCCGAAGGCAGACACCTAACAACTGAGCCACCCAGGCGCTCAAGAGACTCTTAATCATAGGAAACAAACTGAGGGTTGCAGATGGGGTAACTGGGTGATGAGCATTAAGGAGGGCATGTGATGTAATGAGCACTGGGTATTACATAAGACTGATGAATCACTGAACTCTACCTCTGAAACTAATAATACACTATATGTTAATTAATTGAATTTAAATAAAAAATTAAGTATCCACAGCCTGTCTTTTTTCTTTTAGAGTTTTTCTACATAGTTTAATTAGCTTTCTTCAGAAGTGTCAAAACTCCCAAATATCAGCTCATTAAGTTAGAATACTCAAAAGGTAAACACATATTTTAGAAAGATAATATGTAAAGCCCACTTAAAATGTTTATTAATTCTATATACTAAGAAGGAGTATTTTTAGAGAGTGTATTTCTTAGTAGAATTATGATTCTATTGAGATGGGTGATTTAAATTGAATTCAAAGATGATCCCTACTGAAACAAGTCTTAAATTTTTAGATTAAGAACTTTTAAAGAAGGGGTTTCCTAAGAAGATTTGACCACGTGGAATAAACCAAATGCTCAACATTAAATATTATATATGTTTTTTGTCTTTTATCTATAGAACAGAGGAAACATGTTGTTTTTGGAAGTGAAACAGAAGAGGATGAAAGCATTGATTATGAGGCTAATATCATTCCTGAGGCTAATGTTAATGATAAAGAAGATGAATTTAAGAAGGTAATTATTATGAAATGACCTCATGAAATTTAGCCAGATTATGACCCCTTGGATTGTAGATGACCCCAGATTGTGCTTCTTCTAGGCAGTTCTTCGACCAACCTGTATGGACCTATAACCAACCTGGATTTATAACAAAATCTAGCAAATATAATTTTCAATTCTACACTGTAGGATCTGGCAAGATACAGCAATCCTTCTCGTTTTCCCCAATACCATCCCAACTTTTACTGTGATTCTGTCAATACAGCTTATATAATTATCTCCCTGTATTGTGATTGACCATGTTTTCTTAATACAGTAAATGTCATACTTCTGGGACTGTAGTGCCAAGCCATTTGACTCAAGAGTGAAGAACTCTGTTTTCAGTTACTGTGTTGATTAATCAAGTTAACTATCCTGCAAGGCCAAATTTTTATTTCCTTGGGCCCAAGGATCTGCATTTCTTACTAGCACCACTAGGATAACTGTGGACTCCCCTCCAGGAGAAACTCTGTGTGGGCAGATTTGCATGGTGCGTTGAGATGTGTTGAGAATGAAGGTTGACAAGGATGCATGGGGTTTCTTGTTCCTTTTTAGGCCTCACCCTTCTGGTCATGCATCAATTCTGAATGCCACTCCCACATTTGTGCTAATCCCTGCTTCCTCCTTCTGCCAGTTTTCTTTTAATCCCTCATCTTCTTTTCTTTCTTCCTCTATTTTACACACTTTTACACCTCTAACACACATTGTAAGACAGTTTTGGAAATAATCAGCACACATTTGATCCACTTTTACCTTCTTGCTCAAGGAGGATATCACCAATGGGTAGAGAAGCACTCCCCCGCTGAGACTAGATTTTAGCTGTAGATTTCTTCTCAGTACCATGCTCCAGGTGGCCATTATCAATCAGCAGGAGTCAGCTGGAGAGGGGAGGTGTATGCCCCTGCCAGCTGGCCTCTCTTCCAATTGCATTCCCTTTGACACTGGCTGGGGTCCTTAGAGCAAGTCTGATTAGCAGCAGAGTCTCTTGAATTGGGGGATCACTTGGAGCCGAATGAGTGCAGTCATCTCCTAAATAGCCTCTGCCTCTCAAATCCATCATCCTCCACATTGCTGCCAGAATGGTCTCTTTAACATAAAAATCTGACTATGTCACGCCTATGTTTTAGCCTGGTAATTCACCAACGCCGATCATATTCCTCTTTGATCATGCCTGATAGCTCTGCCTTCTGACCCAACTCAAATGGGCTGGTCCACCCTGTCTCAGAGGAGCAGGGCATAGAATCAGAGAGGAATGCTATGGCCAGAGCCTAGTCCTGGAGGTGTGACTCACTGTGCAAGCAAGACGTGGTACCCAGATCCCTGCCCAGGCTCAATATTTGTCCTGCGCTCTGACCAATGAACTTGGCAACACCTCTGGAGGGAAAGAAGGTCTTAGAGAGAGGCTCAAACCATGGTCCCAGGGTGGTGGAAATTTCATCCCATATATTTTGGTATTGTACATTTAAAAATTTTTTAAACATTTTATTTATTTATTTGAGAGAGAGAGCGAAAGTGAGAGAGAGAGAACGAGCAGGGTGAAGGGCAGAGGGAGAAGCAGACTCCCCGCTGAGCAGGGAGCCTGATGTGGGGCTTGATCCTGGGACTCCAGGATCATGACCTGAACCGAAGGCAGACGCTTAACCGACTGAGCCACCTGGGTGCCCTTACTGCCACCTTTAGAGAGGCAGGTCCTTGCCCTGCCACTTGCACTAAGTTCCTCAGGCCCTGAAGTTTTGTGTGGAGAGGGCTTGAATGGTCCCTAACATTGGGGCATGTGGCTGCTTGTGTGTCATTTAGGGATGCTTTCAACTTTTCCCTTTAGATCTGTTAATATTTGCTTTATATATTTTGATGCTCCTGCTGGTTGCATCTACATTCATAAATTCATAAATCTTCTTGCTGGATTGACTCCTTTTATCATTAGGTAATGCCATTCTTTGTCTTTTTTTTCAGTCTTTGTTTTCAAGTGTGTTTTGTCTGATCTGAGTAGATACTACAGCTTTATTTTCATTTCCATTGCATGAAATATCTTTTTCCAACCTTTCACTTTCAGTCTGTGTGTGTCTTATTTCTTTATCCATTCAGCCACTCTGTGTCTTTTGTTTGGAGAATTTAGTCCATTTCATTTCAAGTAATTGTTGATAAGTATATACTTATTGCCATTTTGTTCATTGTTTTCTGGCTATTTTTGTAGTTTCTCTCTGTTCCTTTCTTCTCTTCTCTTGTGGTCTGATGACTTGGTTTACTGTTACTTTTAGATTCCTTTCTTGTTTTCTTCTGTGTATTAACTATAAGTTTTTGCTTTGTGGTTATTCTGAGGTTCACATAAAATATCCCATTTAAATAGCAGTCTTTTTAAAATTGACAGCAACTCAATTTAAACACATTTCAAAACTTTAGTTTTTTTCTTCCCCACCCCTAGTATTTATAATTTTGGTGACACACCTGACATCTTTTTATTTTATACTTCCTTTAACTGATTATTATACTTTTAGCTAATTTTACTACTTTTATCTTTTAACTTTCATGCTTGCTTTATAAGTCATTTGTCTATTACCTTTATTATATATTTACCTTTTCCAGTGAGATTTTTACTTTCATATGTTTTGTTGTTATTAATTAGTGCCATTTTTTTTTTTATCATAAAGAAATCCCTTTAACAATTCTTTAGGGCCCGTGTAGTGGTGATGAACTTCTTTAGCTTTTGCTTATCTGGAAAGCTATGAATGAATCTCTCCTTAAATTCTAAATGATAATCTTGTCATATAGAGAATTCTTATTTGGAAGTTTTTTTTTTTTTTTTTCTTTCAGCACTTTGAATATGCCATACTACTTCCTACTGGCCTATAAGGTTTCTGCTGAAAAATCTGTTGATTGCCTTATGGGGTTTTCCCTTGTATGTAAAATGTTGTTTTTCTCTTCCTACTTTTAGGATTATCTCTTAAGTTATCCTTAACTTTTATCATTTTAATTACAATGTGTCTTGGCATGGATCTCTTTGGATTCATCTTAGTTAGAACTCTGTGCTTTGGGCACATGGATGCCTGATTCCTTTTTCAGACTAGGGAAGTTTTTAGCCTTTATTTCTTTAAATCATTTTTCTGGCTGTTTTTCTCTCTTCTTCTGAGTTCCCTATAGGCACCTTTTCCACTTGATGTTGTCCCAAAGGTCCCTTAAGATTTCATTTTTTTAAATTATTATTTTTAAAGATTTTTATTTATTTATTGAGAGAGAGAGAATGATAGAGAGCATGAGAGTGGGGAGAGTCAGAGAGAGAAGCAGACTCCCTGCTGAGAAGGGAGTCCAGTGCAGGACTCAGTCCCGGGACTCCAGGATCATGACCTGAGCCGAAGGCAGTTGCTTAACCAACTGAGCCACCCAGGTACCCCTTAAGATTTCATTTTTTAATTCTGTTTTCATTTTCTGCTTTGTCTGGGTGAGTTCCACTCCTTTGTCTTCCAGCTCACTGATCTGTTATTCTACTTCACCCAGTCTGCTGTTGAACCCCTCTAGTGTATTTTTCAGTTCAGTTATAAATTCTCTTCAGTTCCTTCTTTCTTTTCTTTCTTTCTTTCTTTCTTTCTTTCTTTCTTTCTTTCTTTCTTCTTCTTTCTTTTTCTTTCTTTCTTTCTTCTTTCTTTTCTTTCTTTCTTCTTTCTTTCTTTCTTTCTTTCTTTCTTTCTTTCTTTCTTTCTTTCTTTCTTTCAGATCTTATTTATTTGACAGAGAGAGAGAGCACAAGCAGAGAGAGAGGGAGGAAAAGGGAGAGGAAGAAGCAGACTCCCTGCTAAGCAAGGAACCTGATGCAGGGCTTGATACCCAGACCCTGGGCTCATGACCTGAGCCAAAGGCAGACACTTAAGTGACTGAGCCACCCAGGTGCCCCTCTTTGGTACTTTCTTTTATTTTCTCTCTTTGTTGAAGTTCTCCCCACTGTGTTCATCCTTCTCTCAAGTTCAGTGAGCATCTTTATGACTATTACTTGTACTCTTTATCAGGTAGATTGCTTATCTCTGTTTCATTTAGTTGTTTTCCTGAGGTTTTTTTCTCGTTCTTTTGTTTGGAATATATTCCTCTGTCTCCTCATTTTGCCTACTTCTTTTGTGTTTTTTTCTATGTATCAGGTAAGTCAGCTACATCTCACAGGCTTCAAGGAGTGGCCTTATGCCCAGAAGTTCAATCTTCCCATATCATCAGAGCCAGGCACTCAAAGGGTGTCCCTTAGGTGGACCCTGTGTGCTCTTTGTGGCAGGGCTGTGGCTGTGGCACAGTGTTGGGTAGGCCAGGCACTCAGTCTGGCTGTAGGACATCAGCTGTGAGTGCTCTGATACATTGATGGGTGGGGGATCTTGCTATGCCACCATCTTGAACCCAACTCTCAATATGATTTCTTGTTACAGGAATGTAAAGAGGTCTATGCTTTTTTCTCTCATCAATTACTAGACAGTCTTCAAAAAGCTACATGGTTATCTTTGGACACAATGAAAAGGAGAATATTTGTTTCAAGGCAAGTTGAAAATATGCTAAATAAGTCTGGTAATACTATCTTAACATAATGCTAATAGTACCTCTTATTTTTATTAATTTAAAAATTATAAAATTTAAAATATCACATTTATGAAAAGACTGTATGAAAATATATGTGTAATACTTCAACAACAGTGATCAAATGAAAAATCATGTTCCTGGCACCCAGGCCAAGACAAAGAACATTGAACACTATCAGTCCCCTTACCAGTCCTTTCTCTGCTCACCCAAAGGAAACCACTATCCCAAACTTCATGTTTGTTATTGTCTTGGTTTTCCTTACAGTTTACCACATTGTATCCCTAATCAAAGTATCATTTAATTTTGCCTGTATCTGAACTGTGTTCAATATTATGTTTTTGAGATTCATTTATGTTGTTATAATTTATTATACACAATCTGTTTATTCACCATGGTGATGGTCATTTGGGTTGTTTCCAGTTTGAGCTATCCTGAATAAAGCCTCTGTGAACATTTTTGTATCTGTCTCCTCCTACACTTGTTAAGCATGGAATAGTTGGGCCCTGGGGTATGTGCATACCTCACTTTACCATGTGATGCCCAGCATGAGAGTCCCCATGGCTTCTCATCCTTGCACACAGTTGGTATTGTTCAATTAAAAAATTCTTGCCAGCAAGGGGGATATGAAGTTGCATCTCACTGGGATTTAAATGGTCATTTTCTTGGTTACTAATGAGGTTGAACATATTTTCATGTTTATGAGCCATTTGTACCTTCTTTTCCTTGAAATTTGTGTTCTTTTCTTTCTCTTGTCTTATCTTGGCTTGGCTTCTCTTTCTCACCTTCTTTCTTTCCTTCATTTCTTTCTTTTTACCCATTTTTTATTGGATTGGACTTATTCGTGGATGTTCTCAGTATATTACTTTGTTGATGATAATATAGCAGATATCCTCCCCCTGTTGTGCCTCTCTTTTCATTCTTTTAATGGTATCTTTTACTGAGTTTAAAGTATTCAAATTTCTCACTCTTTTCTTTAAAATATTCAAATTCATTGATCTTTTCCTTGTGATCTTTATGTCTTTTAGGAGAAATCATTCCTTACCTCATAATGTCTTCTAAAATTTTATACTTTTGTTTTTTATATTTAGGGATTTAATCCACATGGTATTGATTTTTGTGTTTAATGTGAGGTAGGAGATCAATATATTTTTTCCACATGGTTAATTAACCAAATTAAACACTACGTCAAAAACTATGTACTACTATATGTAGTACTTAGTACAAATGTATTACTAAATGTACTACATTTTGTACTACTAAAAAATGTAGTACAAAATGATGTACTACTATATGTTGGCTCGTTGAACATAATAAAAATAAAAATAAATAAAAACCCCAAAACTAGAAGTATTGGTTAAAGGGTACAAACTTCCAGTTAAAGTTGGATAAGTTCTGGAAATTATTTTATAGCATGGTGATTACAGCTTATCATTCTGTTATTATACTTACAAGCTGCTAAGCGAGTAGATCTTATATGTCCTCACCACAAAAAAGAAATGATAATTATGTGATGTGATAGAGTTGTTAGCTAACACTACTGGTGGTAATCATTTTGCAGCGTATAAGTGTTTCAACTCAACATGTCTTTTTTTTTTAAGATTTTATTTATTTATTTGACAGAGAGAGAGAGATAGCAAGAGCAGGAACACAAGTAGGGGGGAATGGGAGAGGGAGAAGCAGACTCCCACCGAGCAGGGAGCCCGATGTGGGGCTCAATCCCAGGACCCTAGGATCATGACCTGAGCCGAAGGCAGAGGCTTAACCATTGAGCCACCTGGGCACCCCTCAACTCAACATGTCTTACACCTTAAACTTATACATGTTATATGCCATTTCTATCTCAATAAAGCTGGGGGAAAAAACCAGAAGTGTTTCTACCTGTAAGTGAAAGTCAGTAGGACTATAAAATGAGATGTTTAACTATTCACAGCTAAAATGGGTATTATCTACCTTCAAACATATCAGGATGCCTTTCTAATATTATAGTGAGTGAAAATTATTTCATGTTTCTAATGTGAGATTTGGAAATATATCAATATTATAATAATATATATAATAAATGTAATAAATATGTAATACAAAATATATATTTAATATTTTAAAAAGTTGAAAAATTACTTTTCTCTTTAAGACATTTATTTATTTATTTATTTAAAGATTTTATTTATTTGAGAGAGAGAGAGAGCAAGAGGGTGAGAGAGCATAAGCAGGAGGAGGGGCAGAGGGAGACAGAGAAATGAACTCTCTGCTGGGGTGGAACCTGATGTGGAGCTCTCCTCCTGGGATATCATGACCTGAACCAAGCGTAGATGCTTAACCAATTGAGGCACCCAGGCGCCCTGAGAGAATTATTTAAATTACACTGAATCTATAGAACAATTTGGAGCGAATTAGCATTCTTACAATATTGAGTCTTCCATCGAGAATCATGAATTACCTCTCTGTTTAAGTCTTCTTTACTATTTCTCAATGAAGTTTTATAATTCTCTGTGTAAAAGTCTTGCACATTTTTGTTAGATGTATTCATTGGCTATTCATGGCTGAATTTTAATTTAATCATGCTGTTATAATCTCCCAATGTGATTCCTTCTCTTTTGGTCAGTTCTTGTTTTATGTGTTTTAAGTCTATGCTATTAGGTGCGTGGAAAATCGTAGTAGTTAAATTTGCTTAGAACACTGTATTTTTAATTTTTATTTTATTCCTTTATATATTTTAATCCTAATTCCTCAAATTCTTTTTAGTCTGTTATTAATCTTACCTTACCAGCTTTTTTGGTATATTGCTTTTTAACCCTTTGTTCAAACCTTGCTGTAGTTTTTTGTTAGGTTTCTTAAAAGCATCATATACCTGCTTATTTTTATTCAATCTAAATATCTCTGCTTTTTAATAGAGTATAATTTGTTTACATTTATTGTGATTTTTTTCATGTAGTTATACTTAATTTATGACATTTCATTTTGTGTCTGCTTCTTAGTATCTGTTTTCTTTGGTTCATTTCATTACCTCTGTTATCTTTGGGATGGATAATATTTTCCTGCCTATACTTTGGTTATTTAAGTAGTTACCCTTAAATTGAGTCTATGTATATCTTGCGCCAGTTTAAAAAAAAAATACTGTCTATGGTTTTTCAGTTTTCTAGTCTTATATCTAACTACAAGGGCCTTGGCGTACTCACTGAACTGTATCTACCTCATTATTGCTGCCTGATGTTTTTGTTTTACCTTTTTTTGAACATGAATATTGGCATATTTTATTAAAATCTCCAGATTCTTGTGTATTTCTTGTATTCCGTTGGTTCCTTAGTCAGGGTACATGATGGATAAACTCTCTTATTCTTCATTTTAAGTCTGAAAAATGTCTTTTTTGCTTTCATACTCTCATGACAGTTTGGCTGGATAAAAAATTTTTGTTTGTCTCTCGGCATTTTGAAAGCATTTCATTTTTTTTTCTGACTTAAATTTTTGAAGATAAGAAGTCTGCAGTAAGTCTAACTGAAGATTATTTTTTATCCTTGATGTTCTGTAGTTTTCTTTCCCTGCGTGAATTTGTCTTTAGTTAATCCTGCTTTATTCTCAGTGTGTACTTTCTATTCAAGGGCGAGAGCATATGGCATTCCTTAATCCTGGAAAATCCTCAGCAATTTCCTCTTCAGCTGTTGCTTCTGGGACATTCCTTTCATTCTCTTCTGATGGAACTCCTCGTAGTTGGATGTTGAATAGATTAACCACATGATTTATTGTTCCAACCAGGACACTCTTTTGAGTGAAATGACACTATCCAGATTTAACCTGGAACTGACCTGGGCACACTGGACATGCAGTCATCTCAAATCTTGGGGGTTTTGGTCTGTCCTCCCTGTCTTCTAACTACTTTGTCATATGTTTTGTCTTTTTGCCTTTCTGGGCTACATTATGAACAAGTATTTCTCTTTCTAGTCTAAAGATGATATCATCTATTGTATCTTAAATATTTCAGTTAATACTTTTTTCCTTATTCTCCAGATACTATATCATTTCTGTTTTTTTAATTTAGCAATTTATTATTTTGGGAGAAGATAGCCTTCACTGATCTCTGAATATTCTCAATATACTTATTTTAGAGTTTGTTATATGTCTGTACATTGATTTTATCTGGAGTGGGTTTTTGTTTCAATTATTAATTCCTTTTGTCCTCTTTCTTACTGTAAGACTTATTCATGGCTATTGGGATTTTAGTTTAAAAGACCTCTTTGAGTGAGACGTGTGTGTGTGCATGTGTGTGTAGGTTTCAAGTGCTGGAAAATGACTGAAAAACTACACCTCCATTTATATGCAAGCAGATGGGGGCGGGGGGAGTCATAAGAAACAAAAGCTCCGCAGTTCAACGTGAAGATTCAACTTTAGGATGCAGGACCCTTGGTTCCCAGATAAACATATTATTGCAAGTAATTCTTTGAACCAAAAGCAAGAACATAAAGGGAAAAAAACCTCTAATTCATAGTCTCATTGTGAAATCCAAGATGCAACAATAAGACAAGTGTAAACTGTATTTAAAAGGGCAGAATCCCAGAACAAGAAAGAGTTTTATAAAGCATAAACAAACAGCTGAAGCGACAGAGGCAGTGAACAGTGCTCTAGATCATTCAGTAACTTATTTGACAAACTAGAGCTTAAAGAATTCTCCAAAATTTCAGGTGCAAAATACAAAGAGATAGATACTACTTAAAGACAAGATAAGAAAAAAGATAAAGAAAAGTAACGTTTATTGAATGCTTAATGTATACCAGGCACTTTTCCAAGCACTTTCCATGAATTAATACATTTCATGCTCGCATTAACTATCTGAGGCAGATCCTGTGATTATTTTTTGCATTTTGCAAATGAAGAAGCCAAGGCAGGGAGAGGTTGAGTAACTTACAGAGGGTCACTCAACTCAGAGATGGTTTCCTGCCTCAGTCCAGCACGTAAAACCTACATATGGTCAATTGAACAGCCCTTCTTTAATCTTAAGAAGAGATCTGTTGTATCAACTTCAAAAGATTCTCAGTGTACCTGACAGGATTCAAAGGAAAAATCACCTACACCTAAACATATATTTTGTGAATTTCCAGAAGAAAAGGGAAAACCCTGTAAGCATCCAAACAACAGGGTGTTACTTAGAAAACTAGATTAACAACAGAACCCTTGTCTGAAGGTGGAAACAAAAGATGCCAACAAAACAGTATTCGTAGAGTGTAAGAGAAAGGAATTGTGATTCAAGCTGACAGCATTTCTTGCTATGGAAAGCAATAAAACATTTATTATAATTTTGTCTGGGATGGGGACAGAGGTCAAGGCAGAGGGAGATAACCAAACTAATTTGCAGCTCTGATGTGTGTTCTTCATTACTTGTACTCGTGTGTCTCTATGTATGTACTTCTGTCTGAGCATGAATATGTTTAAAAAAGTAATTTTTAGGGGTGCCTGGTGGCTCAGTTGGCTAAGCACTGGACTCTTGATTTCAGCTAAGGTCATGATCTCAGGGTGGTGAGATCGAGCCCCGTGTCGGGCTCCTTGCTGGGTGTGGAGCCTGCTGAAGATTCTCTCTCTTCTGCCTCTTCCTTGCCCTTCTCTCTCTCAAACAAAAACAGAAACAACAACAACAACAAAAAAACCCCAGTTTTTGGAGGACTTTGACCAGAAATCTCCTGTGTAATCTTGCAAAAAATTGTATATAAAAAAGTATATGCTTTTTTGTTGCTGATCTTGTCTGATATCTGTTACAGGGCTGGAACAGGATGTGCTTTTATTTTTTTAAAAGATTTTATTTATTTACTTCAGAGAGAGAGCAAGAGAGAGCACGAGCAGGGTGGGGGAGAGCCGTGGGGGTGGGGGCACAGAGGGAGAAGGACCAGCTGATTCCAGGCTGAGCAGGGAGCCTGATGTAGGGCTCGATTTCAGGACCCTGGGATCATGACCAGAGTTGAAGTCAGATGCTTAACCAACTGAGCCACCCAGGTGCTCCCAGGATGTGCTTTTAGTAAACATTATTAAGTGGTTATGACCGAGAGAGAGCAACATTAAAATACCAGAAAATGTACAGGAGACTAATATTTCACTTCTAGTAATATTAAAGCATTATGTTTTCTTAGTTCTCTGAAATGTATGGTTTCATTATAAATAACATTCCCCATGTAATTTGGTATTTTGAAAGTGGTCTTTATTTTTAGGATTGAAAATGGTAGCAGAATCAAGGTTTTATGAAATTTTAGGTTAAGTTTTATAAGTTAAATGTGAATCTTATTCCAGCCACCATGGACGAAGGCGATCAGAAGATGTTATTTCCTTTATAAAAACAGAAGTACATCTTGCAATTCCAAATGTGGTAAGTATAATTAAATATTCAACTTAATACAGTGATATTTTGATAATTTTTAAAGAAGTACAGCACTACAATTGAACTTTCATTTCGAATAACCGCTTGGTTCTATGTAATTTTTAGCTTCACTAGTATTTAACAAAAATCAGAACATTATTTTTACCTATAGTAAAAAATTACATAGTTCATGGTGTGTTGAAGGTTGATGTAAGAGATGAATTAAGCATCTGTTCGGCCATCAGATAGCAAGTAATCTAAAAATATTCTTGCTTTTTCTTTCTTCAAGCATTAAATTATCTAAATAGTCCATCTCAGAAGTCCAGATCCCTACCCCCAACACACAACTGTGAGGTAACCAAGAATGGCAAGAAGAGAAAGAAAGAAAGGGCCTATGCCCCGAGCACAGGGACCCTTATGCCCTCTCCTGCCCCTTATTTCTACCACCATCCCAGCTGCCCCTTGGCATTCGAAACTCCAAGTCACACAGGATGACTGAGGTGCCTTCTGTGATGGGCCATGGGATAAGGCCAGGCAGGAATAATCAGTGACTCGTCTACCACCATCGACACCGACACGGTTTGGCCTCCTGGAGGAGAGCTTCTGTGCTTATTTGGCACACACTTCAAAGAACTGAAGTCAGAGCCTTGGTGGTATAGCTTCTTTAGTCATTTTGCTTCCTGGGCTCCAACACAGGGTCCACAATTTCTGGCTGTATCCAGCCACCCTCCTAGGAAAAGGAGGACAAGTACTGTGTGCTTGATTTGTTTAGCCTGCAGGAAATGATAGAATGGGCAAACCTCAGGGTAGAGAAAATCCACAGCCTACCCTCCTCTAACAGGCCTCTCCCAGAGCAGCCTTCCACTGGGCCAGCTGAGGCTTTCCTGCCCAGTGGGGGATGGACTGGTGAGAAACAGAGGGATGGATGGTATGTGGTGCCAGTACCGGGAGCCCCATTCTTCTCTCCACAGGTAATGATTCCTAGTTTGGATGACATTCAACAAGCCATCAACCGGATGATCCAGCTCACCCTGGAGGTCAGCAGAGGAGTGGCTCACTGGGGGCAACAGCAGACCCGTCACATCAAGCCTGCCGTCACCAGTCCCAGCCGTACTGCGACTGATGTGACCCCTGTAAACGCAGCAAAACCGGCCAAGAAGGAAGAGAGTAAGAACGTTAAAGCAAATCTCAGATGAATAGAATCTTAGAATTGTAACAGCTAGTCGATGGTCTTTATGATTCTTCCTGGGTATGACAGCATATAGATTTTTAAAATTTTAATTCCAGTGTAGTTAGCATATGGTATTATATTAGCTTCGGGTGTACAAGATAGTGATTCAACACTTCCATCCATTACTCAGTGCTCATCAAGATAAGTGTACTCTTAATTCTCATCACTTATTTCCCCCAGCCCCCCACCCACCTCCCCTCTGATCACCATCTGTTTGTTCTCTAGAGTTAAGAGTCTGCTTTTTGGTTTGTCTCTTTTTTTTTACTTTGTTCATTTGTTTTGTTTCTTAAATTCCACACGTGAGTGAAATCATATGGTATTTGTCTTTCTCTGACTGGCTTATTTCATTTAGCATTATACTCCCTGCATTATAGTGCAGCCATGTTGTTGCAAATGGTAAGGTTCCATTCTTTTTTATGGCTGATTAAAGTCATTTCTACATGTTTATTTGTTAAATTTTGCATTAAAAATAAAAAAATGAGTTTTTTCCATCCTCCATCATAAATATAACATACAGACATTTCCATCCAGAGTTTGGACATAGGTGAACAAGGGTTTTTATCACTGTTCTACTATCATAATCTTAGAGTCAAAGAAAAATTATAGCAAGGCTTAGTACTAATTCTACTTTCAGCATTGTATTTGGTCCAATGAACGTAGTTTGTTAGAACATGATGCTTAAAAGTTCTGGGTCATGTGTTCCTTGTACATAAAGTATATATGAGCTATTCCCTTAAGAAATTATGAGTGTGAGGGCGCCTGGGTGGCTCAGTTGGTTCGGCAACTGCCTTCGGCTCAGCTCATGATCCTGGAGTCCTGGGATCGAGTCCCACATCAGGCTCCCTGCTCAGCAGGGAGTTTGCTTCTCCCTCTGACCTTCCCACCTCTGGTGTGCTCTCTCTCTCTCTCTCTCTCATTCTCACTTTCTCAAATAAATAAATAAATAAAATCTTAAAAAAAAAAAGAAATTATGAGTGTGATATGGCACTGACCCAAGGTTTCATGGATATTTTTGGACACTTTTGTGTAGAAAGCCAAACTATTGATAAGTAAAAATTGCATATATTGAAGATATAAATGTGATGTTTGGATACATGTATATACTGTGAAATGATTACCACAATCAAAGTAATTAACATATCCATCACCTCCCACAGTTACCATTTTTTTGTGTATGCGTATGGTAAAAAGGTTTGAAATCTATTCTCTTAACAGATTTCAAGTATACAATACATTGGTATTATCTGTAGTCACCATGCTGTACATTAAATCTCTGGAACTTATTCATCTTATAACTGAAAGTTTGTACCCTTTGATCAGTATCTCCCCTTTCCATCACCCCTCAGCCTCTGGTAACCACTGTGCTACTCCGTGTTATTATGGGTTTGACTTTTTTTACAATGGAATATTATTCAGCCTTAAAAGAATGAAATCCTGCCACTGGTGACAACAAGGGTGAACCTGAAGGGTATTATGCTAAATGAAATAAGCCAGACACAGACAAATATCACGTAATCTCATTTATACATGGAATCTAAAACAAAAGTCAAACACTTTTTCTAAAACTATGTCATCTCCATTGGTAACCAGGAAAATGCAAATTAAAAACAATAAGATACCAGGTAAGTTACATGAACAGGTGGCCCAAGCTCCATATACCCTTTCTATGTTGCACCAACCCTTGCTCTCTCTGGTTATATCTATGGTCTCATGGGGTATTCCCTACAACCAGCAATGGAGGATGAAAAATCTCAGGCCCAGTCTATGTTGAATTGGTTTGATATATTGATGTGAGCTGAAAATGGACTACTGCACTATAGACTATAAGGCCTTTGAGAACAGCAAGAAGGGGAATTTCCCCTGGTGCGTGGAGCTTCAAGCAGTATATCCTTTTGAAGGAGAGGGGAATGATCTGAAGCAAAGATATACATGGACTCTTGGACAGTGATGAGTGGCTGGACTGGTTGTTCAGGACTTAGAAGGAGCAGCATTGGAAAATCAGAGGCAAGGAGATCTGGGAAAAAGCATGTAAATGGGTCTATGTATACACATAAAATAGCTGGCAAACGAAATATTAGTTCCATCCTTTTTTTTTTTCAAAGGTGTTAAATAATTTGTCCAAAGTCACAAACCTAGTGGTAGGACTAAAATCCAATTGTCTGACATTTAGTCCAGTGTTTGCCATTATTCTTTATTTCCTCCCTAGTTCATTCAATATGTCTTTCTATTATTATAGCAGGCTAATCTAAAAACCATTAGGTGCAAGAATCTTTGGACTTATCAACAGCCTTGCAAGTAAGAATTCTATTTTCTTTCAAATTATCAACTAAGTATAATAAAGACATTTGCAGACATGCAATGTCTTAAAAAATTTACCCTCAATACAGCCTTTCCCACAAAGTTATTAAAGGTTGTACTCTTCCCAAATGAGAAAATAAAGCAAGGAGACAAGCAAAAAGGAGACATCTGATATTGGAAACAGGAATGAAATATAGCAGAGAGGTGAAGGGAATTCCCAGATGAATGATAAAAGATGATTTCACCACAATAATTGTATTCTAAGCAGAGAGGGCAACCAGTTGACTCAAGAGATATAGTTTTGGCTGCCTTCACCAAGATGCCTGATGACACTGTATTGTCTTTTAACTTGAAGACTGAATGGCTGGGGAAGTCTGGTCCATATTCTTGGCTGTGCTTGCTTCTTTTCACACATGCTGATGAAGTTGCCAGTCTGCTCTCATTGACCTAGGTCAGCTGAGGAAACTCATTTCGTTCTTTGGAATTGTTCTGCTTTGACCTGCTACTGGAAACTAGAGGGAAGGACTTGTGATTTAAAGGAAAAAAAATTAGGGGCACCTGAGTGGCTCCGTCGGTTAAGCATCCAGCTCTTGATTTCAGCTCAGGTCATGATCTCGGGGTCCTGGGATTCAGCCCTGCAATGGGCTCCATGCTCAGTGGGGATCCTGCTTGAGGATTTTCTCCTTCTTCCTCTGCTCCTCACCTCTCTCCATCTCAAATAAATAAATAAATCTTTAAAAAATTTTAAAAAATAATAACAAAAAAGATTAGCCACTGCCCTGGCCTTTTTCCTGCTGGACTCCATTACATGGCTCATAACACAGCCCTGCCAGATGCTCTCCTTATGATGAGACCTATATTTTCCAGATCATAAATGATAGGACTTACCTATGTTCCCCCATGGCTTCCCCACAAAGGGCTTTTGTAAATTTGGAGGAAAACTGAAGCCAGACTAGAAGCAGACGGTTTAGCTTCTTTTTTTTTCTGAGAACCTTCTTCTAACGTGGGCAATTAATGTTCTTTTCTTTACAACTCTGTTTGTGCTTAATGCTCAGTTAAAAAAAATATACAATATATTGTTTATAGATAAGCATGTTGGTTTATCTTCAAAGAAAATCTGGGATCCTGGTTACTTCTGGGAGTAAGGGAGGAGTATATGATTGAAGAAGGCCTGGTGAGGACTACTGACTGATCTATTAGCACCATTCTCTCCTTAACCTGGGTGCTGAGTACATTGAAATTATTTTCCTTCTTATTTAATATGTTTTATATACATCATATTCTTCTTTAACTACTGTTTTCTATATGCTGCTCTCTCTATATATATTTTAGTCACCCATACACATCCTTTTAACACACTAGGAATATGAAGGATTTTCTGCTAATGGTATTTGTGGAAAAATTTAGAAGCATTTATTTCCCATTAAAATGAAGAATAAAACAAGGAAGACTGCTATCATCACTTCTATTCAATATTTTATTGGATAAATCCAATAATAAAAAATGAGATAATTGGAAAGGAAGATTAAGATTGTCCTTACTTAAAGATCATGCATAGGAAATCCAACGAATCTAGAAACAACTATTAGAACTAATGTTTATGTATAAAAGACCAACATACAAAAGTATTTCTATAATGGCCAATAATTCAATTAGAATGTAATAGAATTATATGTCAATTATATCTCAGTAAAGCTAGGAAAAATGTAATAGAAAAAATGCGTTTTTCAATAGCCACAAAGCCATAAAGTACTTAATAAATAAATGTAAAAAATATTTGCATAGCATTTTTAGAGAAAATAATTATTATTGAATGATATAATAGAAGATAGGAACAAATTCACAACATGAAGAACTCAATTTTTTAATTAATTTACAAACTCAATACAATTCCAATGAAATCACAACAGAATTTTTTATACAATTTGTTAAATTAATTTTAATTTCTTATGTAAAATTATATGGAAGTGCAAAGAGCCAAAAATAGCTCAAAATATTGGTGAAGGAAAACAAGGTAGGAGGCTCTGTCCTGCCACATAGTAAGGAGGGTTATTAAGCCAGATTAATTAAAACAATCTCTTAATGGTCCAAGAATAGATAGATCAATGAAACAGGACAGAGGGTGCAGAAACAATCTATATGAAAATTAGATATGTGACACAGGTAGACTTACTAATCAAGGGGGAAAGAAGGTGCTATTTATTTTACAGATTTTTAAAAAATTTATTCATTTGAGAGAGAGAGACAGAGAGAGCACAAGTCGGGGGGAGAGGCAGAAGGAGAGGGAGAGGCAGACTTCTTGCTGAGCAGGGAGCCTGACTTGGGGCTTGATCCCAGGATGCTGGGATCATGACCTTAGCCATAGGCAGACACTTAACTGATTGAGTCACCCAGGCGCACCCAAAATGTACTACTTAATAAATGATACTAGTGACTTTTATCCATATGGAAAAACTTAAATTAGATTTTATTGATTTTTTAAAAAGATTTTTTTATTATTTGAGAGGAATGAGAGAGAGAATGAGCAGGGAGAGCAGCAGAGGGAAAGGGAGAAGCAGATTCCCTACTGAGCAGGGAGCCCAACTCGGGGCTCCATCCCAGGACCCTGAGATCATGACCTTAGCCAAAGGCAGATGCTCAACCAACTGAGCCACCCAGGCTCCCCTTAAATTCGATTTTAAAAGCATAGTAAATTCATATGCATTATTCTATATTTTATAGCACTGTTAAATAAATATATCCTATAACATTGTTTGACGAAAACATAAAATATATTTATGGCATTAGGGTAAGGAAAAATTCTCAAGATATACAAAGCTCAAACCATAGAAGAAAATATGTTTAAGTTTGACTTCTTTATATTTAAAACATTCTTTAAAGGATCCTTGAATTTAAATGACCCTTAACAAAATATCAGCAAACTGAATCCAGAAACATATAAAAAGGAGCATCTATTATGACCAAAAGAGGTTTATCACAGAAATACAAGGTTGGTTTAACATGCTAAAATACACCCTATCTGTAGAATAAAGGACAAAATTACATGATCACCTCAGTAGACACAGAAAGAATTTGGCAAAATCCAATTCTCCTTCATGATAAACATATTAACAATCTGGGGATAGAATTGAACTTCTTCAACCTGATAAAGGGCAACTATGAAAAACCTACAGTCACATCCTACTTAATGGTGAAAGAATAGATTATTTCCTCCTGAGATCAGGAACTAGTTAAGAATGCCAGCTTTCACCACATCTATACAACATTATACTAGAGATTCAATTCAGTGGATTTAACAAGAAATTAAAGCTATATAGACTGGAAAGGAAGGGGCAAAACTGGCTTTATTAACAGGTAACATTATCATGTATGCAAAAACATCCTCAGGAATACATATACATGCAAAACTATTAGAATTAATAAATGAGTTCAAATATGAGGATATAAAGTCAATAATATACAAAGCTCGATTATATTTCTAAATACTAGGAATGAACAATCTGAAAATGAAATTAAAAAAACAATTTCATTCACAATAATATCATAAAGAATAAATTTAACAGGAGACCTATAAGCCCTGTCACTAGAAGTTCAAAACATTGCTGAAAGGTACACCATATTCATGGATTGGAAGACTCAGTATTGCTAAGATGGCAATTCTCCCAAATTAATCTGTAGATTTAGTGGAATCTCTATCAAAATCCCAGAAAGTAGTTTTGCAGAAATTGAATTGATCCTAAAATTTGAATAAGGAATAGTAAAACTCAAAGAAACTATAATAGCTAATACAGTTTTGAAAAAGGATAGTAAAGCTAGAGTACTTGCATGAGTTAATTTTTCAAAACATACTATAAAGTTACAGAAATCAAAACAGTGCAGTGTTGGCCTAAGAATGAACGTTTAGATCAGTGGAACAGAATAGGCAATCCAAATATAAACTTTAGAGTCAATTAACTTTCTGAAAGGATACCACGTCACAAAAATGGGATAATGGATTGTCTCTTCAACACATGGTACTGGAACAATTAGACATATATATGCAAAAAAAAAATGAAGTTGGTCTTTTACCTCACACCATTCAAAGCAATGAACTAAAGTCAATTATAGAAGAACTAAAACTATAAAAATTTTAGAAGAGAACATGTAAGAAGTTAGCAATTTGGAGTTAGACAAAATTTTCTCAGGTATGGCAGCAAAAACATGATCCATGACAAAGAAGATTGACAAATTGGACTTCAACCAAATTAAAAATTTTGCTCTTCAAAAGACACCATTTAAAATATTAAAAAGGGGGGGCGGAGCAAGATGGCGGAGGAGTAGGAGA